CCAAGCTTATTGGGACGAAGTACATGATCATATTTGCCATACTGTATGGAATTGGACCCTGCTCTTTTTCTTCCAGCTCTGGTTCCATTCTACCTCTAGGCACAAGCAGCGAGCTGTTCAGAATAGTGATTCTGAGAGATGACATCCACCCCAACCATGAGCAAAAATCTTGACTAAAAGTGTAAATGTCTTACCATGTAGTAATGGCAGGAAATGAAACTGCCTAAGTGGTGTGACAAATAGGAACTGTTGTCTAAACAACAGAGGCGACCCCCCCCTCCCCAGTAGCAACATATCAAGGGAATATTTTTCACAAAGTTTGTAAGACAGATATCGATAACAAAAGATGAAATTCTCAACTTTATTGGCAAACTGAAAGTTAATAAGCCATCAAGCCCAGATGGTATCGATCCTATACTTCTTAAAGGACTCAAACATGAAGCTGCCAGCCTTACAAAAATATGTGACATGTCTCTAAGATTAGCCTCTATCACAGAACTAGACAATGACCAATGTACTGTAACACCTATTTTCAAAAGAGATCAAGGGAGGATATGGGAAATTACAGGCCAGTTTGCTTAACATCTGTTCTTGGTAAATTGGTGAAAGTGTTATTAGGGTTATGGATCAGTAACTGGTTAAAGAATGGAAGGCAGAGAGTGGAAATGAATGGCACTTTCTCCCAATGAAGCATTGTCTCCGGTGGAGTCTGACAGGGTTCTGTATTAAGACGAACCCTTTCAACCTATTCATAAATTACCTGGAATTAATGTAAACAGTGAAGTGGCTATGTTTGCTGATGGCACCAAACTCTTTAGGATAATTAAAACCAAAAGGGATTGTGAGGAGCTCCAAAAGGATTTCTCCAAACTGGCATCAAATGGCAAATATGGTTTGCCAAAAGCAAGTCTAAATTAATGTATATTGAGCTAAAAACCTCAACTCCAAGTATAAGTTGATGAGATCTTTGTTGTGATCAACAGTTTGATGAAAATGTGAGCCAGTGTGTGGATTCTGTGAGAAAGGTAAACATGGTAGGCATGTAAGGCACAGGAAAAGAATTGCAAATAGAAACAGAGAAACAGAGTGAGTCAGAAGGGTCCTCCCGGGCCATCTAGTCTGACCCCCGGCTCCAGCTGGCTCTGCTCACAACGTGCCCACCATGTGCATGTCTAGTCTGTCCTTGAACACCCGCACCGATGGGGCATCAACCACCTCCCGTGGAAGTCCATTCCACACTCTTGGGGTCCATGAATAAAACTTCTAATATCATATTGCTGCCATACAAATCTATGGTGCAATTGCATTTAGCATAATGTGTGCAGTAGTGGTCACTGCTCCTAAAAACAATATTGTAGAGTTAGAAGAAGTGCTGAACAGGGCAACTACGATGATCAAGGGGTTGGGTAATTCCCCTGTGGGAAAGGTTACAACATCTAACATAGATGTTTAGCTTAGGAAAAGGGGCAAGTAAGGGGAGACACGATAGTAGTGCACAAAATTAGGTATGGTATGGAGAAACTAGAAAGTGAGACATTTTTTCCTTCCTCTCTCATAATATAGAACCCAGGGTCATCCCATGAAGTTGGTTGGTGAGAGAACCAGGACAGATGAAAGGCAGCTCATCTTCACACAGCATGTAGTTAAACTGTGGAATTCACTTCCAGGAGATGCAGTCCAAAAGGGGATTGGACAAATTCATGGAGGACAGGGGATGCTGGTGTTGGTGGCTATGTGCTGCCTCTGGTGCCCATGTACACTAGTTGCTGAACAACTTGGACAGGAGGCTGCTGTTATGATTTGTCCTGCTGGTGGGATCCTCAGGACAGCTGGTTTGCTGCTGTGTATACAGAATGTTAGAGAAGATGGATCATTGGTCTGATCCAGCACGGCTTTCTTATTTCCTTGGCCAGAACAATGCAAATACCTTTATAGAGAAAACTGGTGTTGAGAGTTATTATTTCTTAACATTTGATTATGTCGGGCTTGGAAATCGTGAACAAATGCTTCATTCTCTGGTGCTGCTCCCTCTGCAACTTTTGAGGAACTGAAACTTCCACTTCTTCTTAGGAGTTCTAAACTGTTTACTTAAAGCATGCTTGGGCAAGCTGAAAGGCATCTTTTAAATACATCCAATGTGATGGAGAAAAATGATGTATTTGTGTATAACAAAATCCCTTGGTTTTGGTAATGCATATTTATGGGTTCATTCATGAATGACTGATGACACCCTGGAACATGCTAGTTTTGGGCTGTGGTGAAAAAAAGGAGCTGTAGGGCTGTGGCTATGGAGGCACAGGCTCTTGTTTATTTGGATAACAGCAACACAGAACCCATTTCCTTTAAAGGTACAATCTCTCATCAGGCATTCTCATAATGGTTCAACACATGGAGAGGGTATGGATGACACTATACTCATGGAGAGGGCTTTCTGAAGAGGCTCGCCACGCAGTTGAGAATGCTGGAAAACCCAGGGTCTGAATTCCCTGTAGAGATTCCACAGATACTGTAGAAGACTCTCCACTTCAAAGCATTGCCTTCCGAGTGCAGGGCAGAAACACACGAGGGAGGGACAGGGCTTGAGTTAGGGTGTCAGCCGTCTCCCTGGCACAACTCCTCCTGGAGGCTGTGGAAAACTTTAGAAGTGAAATGTCATTTGTGATATAATTTTTCCTAAAAAAGTGGACTCTGTAGTTGGAGAGTGGAAATTGTTGGAGAGTGAACATTTCAGTGCAAATTCCCTCTTCAGATAGTGAAAGATCTTAGCACAGAGCTTGTCTTTTTACCCTTTATACATTCTTTGTGGGAAACATAAATCCAGCTGTTACACAAGGTACATTAATTTTAACTTGGGATTTGTGAAGAAACATGGTAAAATGAAAGTGTTCATATATAGGGGCTAAAGGTCCATCATTCAAAATTACAATGTTTACAAATGGACTCTTAAAACAGAGTAGGGAAAAGTAGTTTATTCAACTACACCTACAGTCCTACTGTTGTATTTAACAGACCAATTAATTTGAAGTATTAAGCTTATATCCTGGCTTTCTGCCCTCACCCTATGCCTCCTTGAGACTGAGAAGGTTAAAATAAACCCCAAAGGGAACCTAGAACATTACTTTTCAGGATCTAAGGGGAAAGAGGGCTGGATGTTCATCTAACATGGGAAAATTATCTGAACATCTTTAGGCTTTTTAGCTCAAGCTGGGGAATCTGTGGTTCTCTAGATGGTGTGACTCCAACTCCCATCAGCCCCAGCCAGTATGGCCATTTGGAAGGGAGCTGCAATCTAGCAATGCTGAGTCTCACAGGTTTGCCCCTCTTGTTCTAGTTAGTGAGTGAGCACCAACTACTTCTGTTCATCGATTTGTATCCAATGCTAATCCTATTTAAAGTAGACCCATTAAAATAAATGGTATTAAATTAAAGTGGATATAATAATTCTTTCTTAAGATAAGTGCTGTTTTACCAAAAGTAGTCTGCAGAACCTTCCTGAGACTTGCATTTCATATTAGATGTCATGTAATAAGGCTTGGACGTGTGTATCACCGAAGACATATGTTTTCTATCAGGTTTTCCAGAATTCTGCTGAGTGTGCATCACTGCTATGGAATAGTAATCCTTTCTGTGGCAGAAATGGATGCATCCTAGGACACTGCTTTTAAGGGGGAGGCCTTACAGTAATACTCATTTATATTTCAGAATTTCTATCTTCATACAAAGAAGAAAACTGACAGAAAAAAGGAAATGAGATATTCACAAAGAATATGAGTCAGCAAGCTAAGCTGGGAACAGAATTAAAAGCAGGCCTCGGTCTTAACTTTCAAACCACATATCCTTTTAAGAGAGATGACCAAGTACTTTATAGACAGGGTAGACTGAATGCCAAAGAGTTCTTTTCAGGAGCTCCAAACTAAACATTGCTGATTAAAAATTCCAAGCTATATTATGAACAAGAAACTCTATTACGAATGAAAAGGAAAGTCTGATTCATGTGTACAGTCTTGCTCTTGGGAGCCTGCTGCCCCCTACCAGAATAAAATTGATGATGTAGCCTTCAGGGGGTCCCTGTGCTGTACTGCAGACACAGGGCTAAACAGAGAATTTTCTTCTTTGCTTTGTGCTAGATTTAAGCTGCAATCTAAACTACATTTACTTGGAAGTACTGGTAAAATAAACATCACTTACTTCAGAGTAAAGATTGTTAGGATTCATACACCGGTCACAGGCATGGAAAATAATGTTGGGAAGTAAACAAAAAATGGACGTAGAGAGCCAAAATTTTGTTTCTGGGGGTACTACTTGCCTGGTGTCACATTGCCAGTTTTAAACTGGGCAGAAACCATATCCCTAAATGCGCATTTCTTTCACCACACATCCCTTCTTCATCAACACCAGTTAAGCAGCATCCCTCTCATTGAGATAAAAGTGGGGCCAGTGGAAGTCAGTGGAAGTTTGAACGTAGTGCTTGCCAGCTTCACACTGCCGTACCCATACCCGTTTCTTCTGGATCTCTCTGCTCAAGTAGGTGGTGGAATGACAGTCTTACCTACACCAAATACAGCCACCTGTGACACCAACTAAAGCCAAGGATGAAGGTGACAGTGAAATGAAAATGAAGAAAGGAGTTCTGTTCCCAATAGCAGACTCTTCTTTGGGACCTCTCCAGAGGAGAGAGATGACATCTTGCTCTTCACAGTGTTAATATCCGTTTTTATTTCTCACAGGAAATGCTCAGCCTCCAATGCTGCAAAAGGTAAACTGTTTGGAGTGCCATACTCATCACTCACAATAACTGCAAGGATGATGTTTGGGGGGAACCTACAGATAACATGCAGGGGGGAATCAAATCTGTACACCCCCCACCCCAAGATTTAACAGCTACACTAAACAGTATGCCTTGTCCAGAAAATTAGGAAGCCACTGGATTTTCTTGGAGCACAGAACATCTTTTCTATTAAAAACTCCATCACTGCAAGTAGAAAGAGAAAGACAGGAAGTAAAATGTCCATCATTATATTTTAATGGCAAAACCCAACAAAACGTTTAAACTGTCAAAGCCAATAGAAGCACAAGCTTCCAACACAGTTACAAAAAATACAGTCAATCAAATGTGTCCTATAGTCTGAATCTGAGAGACAGAAGTAGGTATTGCACAGGGGAAAAAAAATCCACCCTCAAACACACTCCTTCCCCTTGGAGTAAAACAAGCCAAGGTTTGAATTGCACAGCAACTCAGCTTAGGACACACACACACATGCACAAACACACATACAGAGAAGGTGGGGAAACAGTGTGCTTTGAACTACCTGTACAAAGTTCAAGACGACATAAAAAACAGGGTGGGCAAAAACAATCGCAGGCTCATGGGGTTCAAACACTTCCAGGGGATGGCCTGTAGACCAATCTATACAAAGCATACAATTAAAGAAAACCAAAACATGAGCCCTGCCACAGCTCAGGGGTGGGGTCCTTTGTACATCAGGACATTCTCTTTCACCTGAGCCATATTATCCATCATCTAGGATGGGAAGTAGCCATTATTGTTACTGCAGCTGTGCAAGGCCAAAAGCTTAAACTGCCAAAAGAGCCTTTGTTATTTTACTGCCACACCTCTAAAGAGGAAAGCAGAGAAAAAGTATGTCATAGAGATGAAATCTGAATGAATGTCTGGTGTAGGATTGTCAACATCTCATCCGGGGACTATGTCCATAGCACTGTGCAAGACTGCTTGTGTGTGGCCTTTACTGCATGGTGTCATGTCTAGATGCAGACCAGGAATATAACTCCACAAATGTATCCAAATGGATACAATCAGCAAGTGTCAAGATTTTGGTAGCTATCAACGGTTCTCAATACCTCTAAAGTCAGAAGAGCATTAGGTGGGAAAGTAAGGAAAAGCAGTCTTGAAGGATGATAAGCTTCCAGGAAGATTCAAGTTATTCCCTAATGAAGGATGAAAGCTGAATGAACTGTAGCAAGTTCCTGACCATAATCCTGTTAAGCCTTCCAAAATGTAGAAAATCCTGCCAGATCTTTGCAGTTCCTCCTACCAAATTTAACCCTTGCATCTATAGTAAACAAATACTGATCCGTCTTGTGTGCAGACTCCTCCCACAAGCTTGTCTGACTCCCATGTCCCCTAAAAGGTGGCAGTGTAAATAATGTTAAGTAGGCCACACATAACCTCCTAATACTCAGTAGTCCTTCGCAGACCCATGTCGTTATGATCCTATAGAAAGACTGTAAGACTAATGATCTATCAATCATTTCAGCAAACACCTTTGAGCACTGAGGTTTAGGCATTCTTGCCCTAAAACGAGAGGTGTACTCATCAAGTGTTTTGCCAACAGCTAGCTCTGTCTTCCCAAGGCTCAGTTGTATTTTCCATCCCGTAACTCACTGATGTTATTAGAACTGCAATCCTGGCTGCAACTGCAAGTCACTGGGCCTCTCTGTGAGTTTTTCTCCCATTCCATATGAAGCCAGGACCAGGCCAGCTGGCTGCCTCTTCAGTATGTTTTGAGGATGACTGAAATTAGCTTTACAGCAGCTAGAGATATGCAAGCCAGTTAAAGGCAACGGAACCAGAATACTTGGGAGAAAATGTAGACCTCCTTGTTGAAAACAAGATTCCTATTGCTCGTTCCTGGCCATGCCAAAAGAGGAGTTCCTCCAACATTAGCTTTATGTTTTGGTTAAGCAAAGAATTTAGGAACCAAAGCAAGATAGAAGGGAGTGCCTAACAGATTACAATAATTCAGAGCAACCTTGAGAAATGGAATACTGTGGAGGTCAAGTGTATATATGAGTATGCCCAGGAATAAACTGCAAAGACAATTTCTGTTCAGACAAGGATTCAAGGAGACTATGCAGGAACTTCTTCATGTTTTATGGCTAGCACTTCCAGCTACTGGTCCCTGCATATAAGGATGCAGTATACCATTAGCACTGGCTGATGGTTTCCCTTTATCTCAGTGTATGATTATATGACCCTGAAAGAAGAGAACCCCCTACTGAGAGCCCTTATTTCCTAACTGACTAGCACTGATGGCCTGCTCAGGGTAATGCCTGACTTCAAAGTGGAGTGGGAAGGCAGTACATAAAAATGGAGGAGGGAAACTGGGGGAGTAGGAAAGATGGGAAGGAGATACGTTGCTCAAAACAACTAGTGCAATAGGCTCAAGTCAGCTTGGAGGAGCTTCCTCTAAATTGTAGGGAGGGTGGGGTGTGGTCTGGTGTTCCCTGGATTATACCAGGCACTTGTATCCTGTAATCCTGCAGTATGGGACACACAGTATTGAGCTAACAGGAAAAGCAGGGAAAAGAAGGAGAAAAATGCAAGTATATACTGCATTTGGAAGGGCACAAGACTGGCCTATGATTTGCTTTGGTTACTTGGACTGTCTATGTGACTGCCATGCAAGGTCCACACAAGCAGCTGAACACTGGTATGTTCACAACAGAGGCAGAGCTCTCTCATACCACCAGCATTCCCATTGCTACGTTCTGCTGTGTTTCAAAACATTTGTCAGCAACCTTCTAGCAACCTTCTTCTAGGAATGAGTATTGCTAGGACAATGGGTAGTTCTGTTCCAGGTGAATCTATTGAGAGAGGCAGCACCCACTGCTGGCAATCAGGGGGACAGATGGAACTGAGCAACAGGTGACCTGAAAGGGCTGCAGGCATCACACTCCAAGCATCAGGGCAGCACAAGTGGGAGTTCCTTCTGCGGTTGGAAGAAACCAAGAGCTTTCTTCCCAATGCTTGAGGGAGTAAGTGGCCCCCAGTAGTACTGGCGGCCAAAAGAATGGAACAACAAGCAGCAACAGAGTCCCATCCATGGAATGTGGTGGCAGAAGGAGGGGGACATGGAGTCAGCACTGCTCAACACCCACTATGCTAACAGATAACAGTGCCAGGGCCAAGCCCAAACAATATTCTGGATCTTCCCCATGCTGGATATTCAAGGAAAGGCTGGCCAGGCTCCTGCACGGCTCTGCTCATCTGCTCCCTCGGCAAGGATAAGGCACGCTCAGTGCTACACAGCTGTCTCCTGATCTTCCCGTTGGATCATCTGGTAGTGCTGTCGATTTTCGAGGTAGGCAGCCAGGTCAGGGTCATTTGCCTTCTCAGCTCTGTGCTTGGGTGTGTCTCCCTGAGGGTGGGAAAAAAAAAATCAGCAGGAGATGTTAGAGCAGAAGCAATCTTGGCTGCCATGCAACCATCACCCTTTTCAAAGAAACTGGAGCTCCATCAGCTCCACCATGACCTATTAGATGCATTTTTTAAACTTATACATTACCCATCCCAAGATATGAGGGCTTGATTGAAAAGGATTTTTAAAAATAGCCTATATTTGTGATGCTGGGCCCCTTTTTATTAGCTTTTCATTGTTACAAACATAAGAAAAGCCATGTTGGATCAGACCAAAGGTCTGTCCAGTCCAGCCCACAGTACACATGACGGCAAACCAGCCGCCCACAGGATGCCTCAAGCAGGATGGGTGCAAGACCTCTGCCTGCCAAGCTCCTCAGCAAGAGGTCTATGCAGGCAGGCCACTTCTGGTGAAGGAGGTAGCACATAGCTAGCAAGGCTAGCAGCCGTGGATAGCCTCCTCCCTCATTATTCTGTCCAATCCCTTTTCAAGCCATCCAGATTGGTTGCCATTACCATTTCCCATGACAGTGAATACCATAGTTTAACTGTATGTTGTGTGAAGGCATACTGTTATCTGTCCCAAACCTCCCACCAAACAGCTTCATGGGATGACCCCACATTTTGAGTGTTATGGGAGAAGGAGAAAAATTTCTGCCTGTTTACTTGCTCCACATCATATATTATTTTAAACAGCACTATCATGTTTTCCCTTACTTGCCTTTTTTCTAAGCTAAAGGGTCCTCATGGAGAACTGCTCTAGCCCCCTGATCATTTTGTTGCCCTTCTCTGTACTTTTTCCAACTCAGAGGTAAGGTGACCAGAACCGATGCCCTTCTCTGTACCTTTCCAGGTTAGGTGACCAGAACCAAACACAATATTTCAAGTGTGGTTGCACCAAATATTTGTGTAAGGGAAGTAAGATTTTGGCAGTTCTATTTCCTATTCCATTCCTAATAATGCCTAGCAGGGAGAGTGCCTTCTTCACAGCAGCGAGCACTGGGCTGACATTTTCAGCAAGCTGTCCACCACTACCCCAAGATCCCTTTTCTTGTTCAGTCACTGCTAATTAAGAGCCCATTAGTGTATACTTGAAGCTGGTATTTTTTGCTCCAGCAGGCATTACTCTACACCTGCATATACTGAACTGCATTTACCATTTTGATGTCCATCCTTCCAACCTGGAGAGATCCCTTTGAAGCTCCTCACAGTCCCTTCTGGCATTAAACCCCCTAAAAAGTTTAGTGCCATCAGCAAACCTAGCTACTTCACTACTTACTCCTAATTCCACATCATGTATGAATAAGTTAAAATGCATTGGTCCTAATACAGAATCCTGTGGAATTTCACTGGGGACATGTCGCCATCGGGAGAAATTGCCATTTATTCCAACTCTGTTTTCTGTTCTTTACCTAGTTAGTGATCCATAAGAGGACCCCCCACCCTTTTTATTCCATGACTGCTTAGTTTGCTCAAAAGCCTTTGGTAAGGAACTTTGTCAAAAATCTTTTAGAAGTCCAAGTAAACAAAGTCAATGTGTCTATTGGCACTCTCAAAGAACTCTGATAGGTCAGTGACTTAAGACTTCTCTTTGCAGAAGCCATGCTGGTATTTTTTCAGCAGGGCTTGTCCCTGTCTGTGCTTACTGATTTAATCATGCTTTTAAACAGTATCCAGAACAGATAATAAGCCAACTGGCCTGAAATTGCCTGGAATCTCTTTTTTAAAAATCTCTTTAAAGAGTGGTGTTACACTGGTCATTCTCCAATTTCCTAGTACAATGGCTAATTTTAGGGACATGTTAAATATTTTGGTAAGAAGTTAGTGATTTCATGCTTGAGTTCTTTGAGAACTCTGGGAAAGACACCATCTGGACCCGGCAACTTGCTGACTTCTCAGTAAGGTTGAGAACTTCATCTTTTGTCACTACTATCTGCCCTAATTCCCCAGAGTCCCTTCCAGCATATAAAAGCTCAGGGACAGGTATCTGCTCTTCATCCTCTGCTGTGAAGATTAACAAAAAGAATTCATCCAGCTTCTCCATGATCTCCTCATCCTCCCCCTCCCCCCTTAGTACTCCTTTAATTCTGTTACCATCCAATGACCCAACTGCTTCCTTCGCCACTTTCTTTCTTTTGATATTTTTTAAAGAATCCTTTATTGTTAGCCTTGATATTGTTAGCTACATGCTCCTCATACTGTTGCTTTGCTTCTCTGATGTGCAAGCTAGTGGTCCTGTCTGTTCTTTTCTTTTGGGCGAGACTTCCATTTTTTAAGGAAATCTTTTTTCTCCCCAATAGGTTCCTTGAATCTATGCATTAACCATGCTGATGGTTTCCTGGACTTTGTGCTACCTTTTCTCAGTATGATCTGTGCTTCTGTTATAGGGTTTTTGAGTAATCCCCAAATGCTTTGAAGTGATTTAAACTTTTCAATTCCTCTCTTCAGCAGATACAAATATCCAAGAATTGTGAGGCTCTGCTTTTACTTTCAGAATCCATATAATTTCACAGGCAGAGTTGTCGAATTATTTGGCTGCACCATCATTCAGTCCTACTTACTCTCAGGAACGCACCAGGCTTTGAGAGGTGTGAGGGGAGCATCTCTTTCTCTCTTTGTATGTTTGTGTGCACTGTTTGTGTGTGTAGGTACAAAGAAGGATAATCAAGTCCTGAAATCTCATCCCTTCTCCCCTTGAATCCTCTTTTACAACTCCACTTATTTTGCAGTCCTGAAATCTACATTGCCAAAGAAGTCTTGAAAAAACACAGATAATGAAAGAGATTGGGAACCTTTTAAAAAATCTACCAAGCATCACAATTATTCTTATCTCACAAGGCCACTATTTGGTATATTCCAAAGAGGTGACAAATGCAGTAATAATAGTTGTGCAAGATTCTACATGTGCTGAAAAAGTGGCAATGTATGTATATTTTTCCATAAATAGGTGGGGTGGGAATGGACTTCTTGCTTCTAGGCACAGAAACAAGAGAAAAACCCTGGAAGAGATGAATGGATTACTCTGGAATATCTTTTTGCAGATACAGCCATGGCCAGAAGAAGGCTCCCTAAATATGTCTGTGACTACGATATTTGGAGTTCACTGTTTCCTCAAGAGGCAGAGGAGGGGCAAGATTGGAAACCCGAGAAGCATCCTGGGAAAGGATATCTAGGGACTGTGAAAAGATTAGCAACTGACAGCTATATAGTTCCTCAAAGGCCTATTTGCATGCCACCCTTCCTCCTGCTGGCTCAACTAACTACTTGTTGGGAAAGTCCTGTGTTCATCCTTATTTGAGTACATACATGGGAAAAGGTGAGAGGTTTGTGCCATGTTGCATTGTGTCATGAAATCTTGCTCCATGAAATCTCACGGCAGCAGCTATTTTTGTGGCCTGCAGAAGCCAGGATAATGTGAGTGAAAGGAGTGTGCAGGGGGCGGGGGGCTGGGGTGAGGTGTGTGCCTGGGGAGTGCCCTGAAATACCAGTCCTCCACCTCCCACCCCCACAGCCTTGCTAGCACTCCTGGATCCCTGCGGAGGCTCACATTTCACGAACTTATTGCAGCCATCTGGACTGCGTCCACTAATGAACTCCTGCACTCCATAAAAAGCAAATCTGTTAACAGCTTTCAGCCATGTCTCCCCCTCCTCCTCTCCTCCTCCCCCATTCCACAAACCTCCCCCTCATTAACTACCCCCACACTCCACTGGCGCTGAACGAACTTACTGCTGAGAAAGACCAAGGAAACCTGGCTCTCTGCCGCCTCCATTGAAAGTGGGAAAGGACGGGCCTCTCACACTGGCCCTTGCATCCCAGCAGGGAGAAGGCAGTCATGGCAAGGAAGGAAGGGATCCTGAGTCCCAAGGACAATCGCCAGCTATATTTCATTGGTATGCACAATGGTTTCAGACTTGCAGGGGCTCCATCACACACACACACACAGCTGTAGAAACAAGTACAAGTTCCACTGCCCCTCCCTTCTAATGATGGTGAGACAAAGGCAGAAACCAAGGCAGGCACAAACCCACCCACAAAGTAGAACCACAGGTTCACATACAAAAGAGGCTCCTGTGCAGATGCAACACAGGAGCATCTTCAGCAGGGAGGGCTTTGCGAAATGAAATTGCTCCTTTCCTTTTGCAACAGGGAAAGCAGCAGGGTGAATTTCTCTTCCTGAACACGGAAGAATCTAAGCAAGGAATCAAAGCTCCCGGGCACCTCCCAGCCACTGTGATCTGAAGTACTCTAGTCACATTGTTAAATAGTTTGGTCATACCATTAAGCCATGCAACTATTTGTTAAGAAAGAAGGCATACATGAGCAAAGGCAAACCATGTCACAGCAAAGCACCTAGCAGATGCCATCTTAAGATACATAGGCATGTTGATTTTATGGCACAGTGGCAGCTAGCCAAGAAACAAAAGCAACTCACAATCACAAAAGTGCATGTTTATTTTGTGCTAGTCTGCTCAGTTTTGGAGATGAATTCCTTCCTCAAGAGATACCTAAAACACAATACCACATATTATAATTTTATGCAAATATAGCCAAAATATACAGCACAAAAATACTATGGCTTAATTATCTGCACGCATTCACAAGCACACTACAAATTTCAAAGCACAACTGTGAATGGACACAGTTAATTACTCCTTGGCATTTTCTGTGCCATTTTAGTTGTATGTGCATAAAATTATATATTCTCTGTGCTGTAACACATTTAGAAATGGATGCAGTTAAGTAGTCTATAACATGGGACTGCAGGTGGTGCAGTGGTCTATAACATGTGATTGTATCATTTTGAATTTTTGGCTACTTGGTAGTTCTCTGTTTTTGGTCAGATTGGCAGCTAGGCCATGTCATGTGACAAACTGGTCTTATGGGAAATGCAGCAAGCCACATGTCTCTCACAAACTCAGACATGTGCCCTGTCTCAGAAACTGAAATCCTGTTGACCCAAGCTATGCTGTCCCTTTCATCTTGCAAACCAATTTCTTTGCAAGGCCACACACAAATGGCCAAGGAAAGAAATGCTTTGTGATGTTGGCCAGAATCATAACTCCATCTTCCTCTCTGAAATGGTCTCTTTTCCATTCCTATGGTTGCTCATTCCATTTCTAGCTAAAACCACTTTTTCTTTGGTCACACCACAATGCCTGAAGCATTGGCTAAAAGTTAGGAGAGCAAGGGAGCTGCCAAGAATTGACTGTAAAACATCTCACAGTTGGCAAAACATTTTATTGCTTGTCTGAAATGCTCCAGTGGTTTTATAGCTCCATTAGCATCAACTCTGGTCAGGTGAACTCATAGGCCACAGGAGCCTTTGGCAACATGACATGTCGCATCCTGATTGGCTAAGCTAACTGCTCAGCTTCAGGTCACAAAACCAGCAGACACCTAGGCAGGACAATTCACAACTCCACTGACCAGAGATTGCATGTTCGTTTCTACCCTATTTCTGGCAAGCCCCTGGAAGCCTCTTGGGTACCGAAGGATAACTTCGGTACCCAAGGCTATATAGCAAGGGGACAGCATATAAAAACTTTAAATAACTAACTAACTAACTAACTAACTAACTAACTAACTAACTAACTAACTTCAACTTGCTCTGCAATTCTTTTCTGGCACCAAAACATAATTGTGTCTCAACTGCTGAGCCCCAAGATGCTGTGACTCTCTGACATTAAAGAACACATCATTCACATAAGGTGACAGAAGCCATCCTTACTGTTCTGGGACCGCGTGTTTTAATGCCCTCACCCACATGGAGGAGTATCCCCCAACACAGGAGACTTGACAGTCTGCAGCTGGGAGAGGGGAAATTTACAGTGAGATTGTCCTTAAAGTGACCTCAGGGAGTGGGAAGAGGAAAATGAGACACTCTGACCCCTCATTTAGAAAAACAACGCACTGGCAGCATAAGAGACAAATTTAACTCTGAGAAAAGCTCATGTTGCACAAAATCTCCTTATAATAAATACACTGCGTGCCTTTCCTTCATCTACTCAGAGGTAAGCATCTTAACTCTATGTTTCCTGCAATCTTTCTGACTGGCACCATCTCAGGATCAGTTTATGTCAGTGTGCAAAATCTGAGCCCCAGGGTTGAGTCCAGTCCACCTAGGGGCCAACTCTGGTCCTCCAGGGTTTCTACCTGGTCACACCCCCTTTCCCTCAATCAGCTGCCATACAATGGTTTCCCAGCTTCTGTGCAGTTTTTCCCTCGTTCTAAAAGACTGAAATGCATCTCCTAAGGCAATAAGGGCTTTCAGTTAAAAATGCTGGCATTTTGGCCCTGTCTCTTTTGTCTTCATGCATCCTCCCCGGAATGAAGTGCCCAGGGACACCCCTGGTCTATAAATTTAGCTGAATCAGGCAGTGCATGCTTCTTCCAACTCCAACTAAAATTATCACAGTGATTCAGATTGCAAAGGATCATGGCAGTGTGCTTGTGTGTGTGTAGGGGAGCATATCAACATGTTCCAAGCCAGAAAAGAACACTCTCCCTATACATAGAAAACTTCTATATCAGGGAGTCAGATAGACTCAGCCTTTCACCAGGACACCTATTTCTTCTGCATGTTAAGTAAGGTTGCATACCTGTAAGGAACTTTCTTCAAGTGGACATCTATGCATTCACGCATAGGAGCTCCGCACCTGCCCAGGGCTTGTCGCTGAATAGAGAGAGTTTCCCTAGCTAGGCATTTTTGGCAGGAGCCCTGCCTTTATATGCACTCAGGGAAGGGGTGAGGCCCCAGCCAAAAATGTCTAGCTAGTGAACCTCTCCAACAACAAGCCTTGCGCAGGTGCAGAGCCCATATGTGTGATGCACAGAGACAAAGAAGAAGAAAGATTTGTTGCAGTTATTTTAGGAGACTGCCTGAAGCTATACAAATCTAGGAAACATTCTACCTGCTAAACACAGAAAGTGGCCCCCAAGATTTTGTTCTGCCATTCCCAATATTCACTTGTCTTAGCGCAATCTCTTACCTGAAGATCAGTTTTCATCAGTGAAGCCCCAGCCTCCACAATGTAATGGCAGATAGTGCGCTGACGAAGGGCTGCAGCCTGGTGCAAACTGGTCTCACCACTAGAAAGAAAAATTAAAATGGAAGACCAGGATCACCAGCACATATCTGCTCCTGCCCACTTCAAGCAGTTTACAAAGATCCAGTAGAGGTTTGGATGGAGCCTCTCTCTGCACATGTCATCATGCATTTATGGAAGATGGAGAGATGGATGGAGTAATGCAAACAGTTGGGAATGATGGCAGACGGGTTGTCCTCATATCATCTTGAAGGAATGGCTGAACAGTGAAGAGAACAGACTAGGATGCTTCTCCTCTGCCATTCCATGCTCATTCCTCTCTGCTTGCTGCAAACTTAATGTCTTGAGCTTACTGCATTGCACAATTTCCAGAAGGGTGATCATGTTAGCTTGGTGGTAAAGAACCTCAGGCCCAGGGGGCCAAATCCAGCTAAATTTGTTATTGGCAGCATGACCTTTAATTTAAAATATCGTGGTATTTTGCCCCTACTTCTTTTGCCTTTGGGTCTCACCACCACTGGAGTAGAGCCTGAGTGGACTTTTCCAAAATGGAATTTAGGCTTCAGGCTCTGCACTGTTAGCATTGTGGAGAAAAATGCAACAGTCTTGTGGCAGCTTAACAACTAGCAAATTTATTCTGGCATAAGCTTTTGTGAGCACTTCATCAGACACATGTAGTATTTTTACCTCAAACTGCCAGATGCATATATGCATGCAAGGGTAGTACGAAGGAAAGATAAACTGCATCATCAAAGTAAATTGAATTCAGAAAGTACAGTGATAATTACCTTAACAGTTGCCATTCAGAAAACCATGTTGGGTGATAACACAGACATCATTGCAATGGTGGGCTAATTAATATATTTGGCGTGATTTAAATAAATTTTAGTCACATACAGAAATAGAATGGAATCTGGGGATGTGTGACTCTGGGAAATCTGTTTTGTTTGAGTCCAGCAGACTTCTGCAGCATTTTTGAACTGACAATTGGAAATGAACCATGCTAGATATCTTCCTGGTTCTGGAAATGTTCTGGACATAGTTGTGAATTAAGATCTGCATATTTGTAGAACCATTTGTGCAAATAGGGTCTTCTGTGCAAATAGGGTCTGAATCTTTAAATGTGTATAAGTGGGTTTGCACTGTTAATCTTTTATCACATATGCACTCCATTATGTAACCACAGGCACTGCAGAGTCCTTTGGTACATATCCTTGTCAGTTTCATTCTCTCACTACTAGCTTGCCATATTCCCAGTACCACAATGCATTTATCATTCTTGATCTAGTTCAGCAATGTCACTACCATTTTCTGTTAGGATTACATGATTTGCACATATCAAATAGACACTTTAAAAATTATTTCATCTCCTATGATTTGTACAAATCTAGTTGTGGATTTGTAGCCTCTTCCCCCTACTTGTTCTCTCACCAATATTATACATGAGTTTTCCCTTGACTTTTTTTTAAGTTTAGAAAATTGGCACAAACCATGGACCCCAAAATTAGCACAAATTTCCAGGTCCACAATTTGAGCAAATATTCTGAGCTTTAAAAATCCCTGTGTGTGTGTGTATGCATGTGCGTGCAAATTTGCAATCTGAAGTTGACTGTTCAGGAATCTGTTGAGGTGAATTACCATGGATGAAAGCTTAGCCCTGAATACAATGGTTAGTCATTAAGGTAGTCAGTAAGGTACAATGGTTAGTCACAAGACTCCTTATTGTATTAAGCAAAGAAGCTGAAGCAAGGAGATAAATGAAACTTTATAACCTAAGCAAAGGCCTGGGAAAAGACTGAAGATGGTTCCTGCTTCAGCAGTTACATCTGGGCCAACTTTTTCAGTGGCTGCACCTTCCTCCACCCAAGTAGACCCTGGCTCCTGAGCTAACTCTTTCTTCTGAGTAGCTCTGGGCAAAAAGGTCTTCCTGTAGACAGGTGGATGCCCCAACAACAATTCTGTGTGTTCTGCCTGGCCCAGGTCTATCCCCACTAGTGCTCAGGTGAATCCCTCTGCGGTGAGGAAGACAAGTCAGAATCATGGCAGGACTTGGGATGGAGTCAGAGGGCTTGCTTAGGATTTCAGGTGAGCATCCCTGCAACCAGACTGCTCAGACTGCCCCATGCCTTCAGCAGGAATAGGATTTGCTAAAGAAAACCATTCCTCCCTGTGCTCTCTAGAGTTTGACAGTCAGTGGAGGGAAACAATAACTTTGAAGCTAATGTGAGAAAGATGCTAGGAAAAGTGCAGGCTCTTTTCTTTACTCAAGTACTTCAAGTGCTTCTGCCACTCCCTTCCTACAGGTATCCAGCATGCTGTGATGAACTGCAGGAAGTCTACCATCCTTGGGAACGTAACTGCTGGGAGGGAAACAGACCATTCATCTTCCTTTGCAAGAAGATGTCCCTGTGAGAAAGACCCCCCTTATCCCCTCTCCCAAATCCTGCCTCAAATAAAGCAACTGTTCCACTAAGATGGCACTGGTCCTGCCAGGAGTGTAAGGAGGTGACAGGGATGGAAAAACAGGGACAAATCTTCTGCCTATTTCAGGGACAGACCCTGATGCTGCTACTAATCAATTTCACAACCCACAGAGGAACTTACTTTTCTTCTTCTGTCATATCCAGAATCTCTGCAGGCGCTGGGGACAGAGGAACAAGAACAAAGCAGTGAGGCCAGTCAGCATGACATGGCAGCCATGCCGCTTCTTGTTGTTCTACCACAGGCCAAGAGTGTGCAACAGCATCCTCACCACCTCCTATATATCCCCAGGGAAGTCTGGGTGCAATCTGTCTGGGTGCAACCCAGTCTTTGCTTACTGGATTGCACCCAGATCAATGCTCAAAGTCACCCCATTTACCCAACACAACAGTAAAGTACTCTGTACCTTTACTGGCCTGGCTTACCATTCTCAATTATGTATTTGACAAGCTCTTTGTTCCCTGATTTGACTGCATGATGCAGGACTGTTTGGCCCATGTGATCGCGCATCATCAAATTCTTTCCAGCTCGGTGGAGTTCTCTGAACTACAGCAAGACAAGACAGCTTGAGATAAGCTATAATGTAGATTTTTTCAAGGTAGGTTTTCATCAAGGTAGTTCACCAAAAAGGTTAAAAAACCCAAACAAATAAAAAACCAAAAAACCAGTAACAGTTTGGTAGGAGTGGGAGTTAGCAGCTGACAGACATTCAAAACATTGTTCCAGACAGAAGCCATTTAAAAAAAAGGTTTTCCAGAAAGGAATGTTTTCATCTCTCTTTTAAAAGGTATCAGTGTTGGGCTTGTCTTGATCATCATACAGAGGATGTCTCATAAAGCCAGGATTACAAAGCTTTACCCCTCACTAGTACAAAAGTCTTCTCACAGTACAGGAATATGGGGAAAAAGCTCACTTTTGCACTGGAAGACACAAAGAAGTTCACATAGCTGCATAACTTTGCCCATTTGTTAGTTTAGGATTCAGGGTGAAATGATGCTTTTTTAAAACAGCAAGAGCAACTAGGAAATCTCATCACAAGGTAAGAAGTTTCTAATTCTTCTTTCTTGGCTACTGATTCATATACACCTCATGGAGTTAAAGACAACACTATTAAAATGGCATTATGAAAAAACTCTCATGGCTGTGTCTATTGCAACAGCCACCGCTGAGCCCACTGTCTCAAAGTTAAGCATGAAATGAGACATGTGACTCGCTGAAGTGACAAAGGCTTCTGACTTCATGCTGATTTACTGACTTTATGCTGTCAACACAAAACATTGCATTCATCATAGGAAAGTCTATGAGGGAAGCCACCTCAATAATCTTCTAGATGGGGTTACTGTGACTGTATAGCTAGGTTGCAAGACTGCCATGTTCCTGAAGTCAGCAGAATGAGTAAGTTCTTCCTAAGCAGAAACAACCCTATGCCAAAGTCACTCTTAGTTGCAGTGCAGATGAATATGGGATGGGTGCATGACAGAATGCGGATCTTGTACGTAAGATTCACTCAAAATGCTATAGGCCTCCTGCAATCCTCCACAACCCCATCCTCCGAATACCCTTAATATACTCTTGGTTTACCACCCTAACTGCAATATAAGGTCCTCTCAGTCAGCCTGCTAGGGAGTCCATTGGGCACAGGAAAGGAATACTTAAATGGAAGCTCACACAGCTGGAAGAGGGCCATCCTGTGGTGAAAGATAACAAGCAGACCGACACAAAAAGACAGCTGGCACTATGAAAGGAAGCCACTAACAGTGTTGCGTCCAGCACTAGAGATATGGGAGCCACAATGCTCTGGAGAAGGTTACCATACCCTCCCCAACTTTGCAGCTTGGGTCTGAGCAGATGGTAGCTGTTACCTTGTGGAAATCGTTATTCTTGGCCGCATCTATCAAAGCATCATCTGCAAGGAGGAGAGACAGTTCAGGATTACAAAACCAAGGAGACAGGGAGAAGGTTGGGTGTATGTGTGGGGACTGGCCAGTATGATCATGTTAAGCCAATGCTTTTATGATCTGCATGGGCTGCTGGTCCCTTTCCAAGTCAAAATCAAATGCAGGTGTTAAACCACAATGCCCAGATAGGCTTGGGGCCAGTTTACCTGAAGGCATGTCTCCTTCTGGCACTCTAAGATAATCTTTAGATGCCTTTCTCCAGGTGCTCCCTCCAAATTAAGTGAGACAACCATCTACTATGGGCCTTTGCAATGTGGAATGACCTCCGCAGGGTGGCTATTTTGGCCCCTACTTTGTGGCCTTTTTGGAATCAGGTGATGACCTGGCTTTCTCAGGCCTTTTCACCTTATTTTCCCAGGCTTTTCCACCCTTCAGTTTTTCAAATTGTGTTGATATGTTTTTAGAACTTTGCTCTGCTGCTGGTTTTCTGTTTTAAAATTATGAGTTTACATTTTAAATTATTGCATTGTGTTGTTTTGTCTAGCAAAACTACCCACAGAGCTTCAGCTAATGGGTGGTATGAAAATAAGACAGACTTATACTCTTGATAAATGTACACCTGATCTGGATCACATTCTAGAACTTCCTTTTGCCTAGGAAAAAAGATGTAAAAGGCAACAAGTGGTTTAGTCCTTCATAAACTTTTCTGGACCAAAGCAACAAATTCTCATTATCAGTTGCCTAGAGTTGCAAAGAGTAAGGGAAGAATAAGGATGGAGCAGAGAAACAGAAATTGTTGATCCTTAGTGTGAAGGTAGCATGTTCTTCCATTAATTCAGTTTTTACTCATATATACTACCTCTATTTTTACTATCCAGATTTCAGTGGTCTTCCCTATTGTCACTCTTTTCCTATTTGGAAAGAGAGCATGAGTGTGTTGTTAGATGTTCTCCCTGCACAAACTACATACCTGTAATATGAATTTCTTGTGGAAATTTTAAAACTTGACTGGTGGCTTGGTATTGCATTTCCCTTTTCCTCTGACTGCAAACCTTAGCTGGGCAACCATGGGAGTGGATGCTGATCATATGACTTTGCAAGAGCTCCAAAGCTGCTGTGAGGACCAGGCATGCACCAAAGATGGTTCGCATTATCATAAGACTCAGTGTCTCACAGAGGCTGTGGGGACTGGGAAGAATTAACCATGAAGAAAGCCAGTGTGGTGGAGTGGTTAAGGGCATGGGACTGGGACTCAGACGATCTGGGTTCTAGTCTCCACTTGGCCATGAAGCCAACTGGGTGGCTTTGGGTCAGTCACAGACTCTCAGTCCAACCTACCTCACAGTGCTGTTGTTGTGGGGATAAGATTGAGAGCAGCAGGAGGAGAATGTAAGCCTCTTTTGAGTTTGTTGTAAGGAAAAAACAGGATATACATCTAATAAATAAAATAAGATAAACCAGAGGGGTATAAGGAGGAAATGGAAACCAAGACTATATGATAAGGGAAATGAGAAGAATGTTTAAGCAGAGATGAGAAGAGTTTGGGAAAGGACACTGCAAACCCAAAGGGCATGGGACAGATGGTATGAAATAGTAAAGCAGAAAGGGGAGAAGAGAAGGTGGAAGGTCGGCGTCTTCAAGGAGGCAGTGGATAGGGATGCTTTTTGTCAAGAACTCACTCACACTTCCAGGAATTAAGCTCTCTACAAACTCCAGAAAACACTCAGTTGAGAGGGGGCCCCAACCCACTGTTCAGAGCTCCTGCAACCCTCAGTGTTACATGGCAGAGAGTAGCCCTCCTCCCTATCCAGGCTTCCAAAGTGTTTACAGGTAGGACACTGGCAGATTTTATAAATGAATGGAGGAAAGCCTGCTTGTTAAGCCGTGTCAGATTTTGCCCACTTAGCCACTCTTGAGACTGCTCCCCAGAAGGAATTCCCTGATCTGGGCCTACACAGCACCCTTCATGGCCTCTTCCAGCTCTACTATTCTATGATTCCAATTCCTGCTACAGCAGGGATGAAGGCACTAATAGCCAATTCTTTTGTATGCCAGCATATTTTGTCGATCTTCACCCTGGTCCACCCATTCTTTTCCCCTGTAATGTATACAGCTCCAGCAATTTCCATTGCACCTCAAGATCTAGTCAAAGCCTCCTGTTTTTCGATCTGGACCAGCTCCAATATAACCTTTTGAGGCTCCACCCTTTCAAATAGTAGTACTGCAAACACAACTGCAATGGGCCTACTTTCCACAGGTACTCATATACAGATGTACTGAGAGTACACCATCAGATAACAACTTCAAATACCCTGGAAGATAATATATATCTCTAGGTAGGATGGGTCATGAAATCAGGTACCAGGTTCCAAAAAGCTGATCTGCCTACCAGAACTCAGTGTCTAAGATCAGCAGAGGCACATTAAGCCACGTTATGCAGAAAACAGGGTAAAACATCTCTCTGGAAGTGGTCTTATGTTTTACAGAGGCTAAAGTAGTCTTGCATTAGGGAACTGGAGATATGAAAACAATGGCAGAACTGATTAATAGCCACTACCTGAAGACAGAGTGTTAGACAAAATATGTTAGAATCCCAAACATTGAGCAAAGAAGTCTCACCTTTGAGGAAGAGGCAGCTCCCTGTTTCTGAGCTGGAAAAACAAACAAGAGATTCAAAGCTAAGAGGTTAGGGTCCTTCCTAAAGCAGCTTTCTCCTTTTGTTCAAATCCCCTCCTAACCCTAACATAACCTCTTTACCTGCCTAGTTTGAATGGGCCAGGAATGGAATTGGCAGGAGCTCCTATAGATTTCTCTGACCTATTTGTGTGTTGTAAGGGTGCAAAGAAAGTTGTAGAGCCAAGGAAGGCGGCTGACAATTCAAATAATTTCTGCCTTAGCATTGTCCAGCATTTTGTTCCACCAAATCAACTCTGTTTACTTATGCCTCATTTTTGCAACTACAGCTACTCACTTTGCAGACCTGCATCAGTACATAATCAGATTTACCAATTACATACTCCCAAGTTGTCTTCTATCCCACAGTGATTAAGATGTGCTCTACAACTTCCAGGTTGGGAAGGCTAATGAAGGAATTGGGATAAACAAATCAACAAAAGTTTAAAAACATGTTTTATTCATAGAGGGCACCATCCAATGAAGCTGGCTGTAACCCTCTGTACTGAGGGCCCAAGTGAGAGAGGAGCATAAGAAATTACCTTTAAGCTTTGTTCATCCTGCAAAAGACACAGGAGGCTGATTTTGCCTTTTACTCCTACTTGCAAGAAAGTGGAATTGAGGAACTGGTGGGATTCCTCATATCCTGGTGGACGTGTGAGGCTTCCCTTTTTGTTGGCTCTGAAGCTACACCTGAAGTGCACCTGGTGGTGGAAGTGTGCTCTATGGCACTTCAAGTCCCAGCTTTGACCTCAGAAAGCACTTCTGGGTTCAGAGCTGGAACCGCAACCATTTTATGGCCACCTAAGATAGCATCTGGCAGTGACAGAATTGCTCCTGAGAAAATATAATTTAGAAGTTGCAGAATAAAATATAAATGCATGTAAAGAAATTCAGCAGATCAGGCACTGTATGGCAGCGCACAGCTGACTAAAATGCATAGCTGAATGTGCAAGTCTATGCATGTGTACACCTGCATATTGTAAGACTAAGAAAGACTTTAGGGCTACAGTACAAATGAGCACTATTATGGTCCTGAAAAGAACTTAATTTTAGAAAACATTTTCTAACACATTCAAGCACACTAATCACCATGTAAAAGGTTGCCTACTCACTTAGAACTGGGAAAAGGCGAAGCGCTGCTAGAGACACACAGAATCTTTCCCTGGTGGGAACCAGTGGACTGGGTGTGAGGGTGAGAAGGCCTGGATTCCTCTTTAATTGCAAACACAGGTGTGGCAGATGAAGCCTTGTGGGAAAATGTTTAAATTCCTTAAGCATCACAAACTTCCTAAAACCTATTGGCAGGAAATTATAATGCCAGTTTCACAAGTAAACCAAAACCAGAAAAAACAGAATGCCTCCCCACACACACACACACAGTGGGAGGGGGAAACCATTGTTAATGGTTTAGTTAGTTGTTGTTAGTTTTATAACAAAACCATCCAGTCCATCTCCTCATTCAGGCCAGCTGGAGATTTAGCATTTAAGCAGTAAATCCAGAAGAGTTCCCTATAGAAATGATTCTATTGCAGTGGCTGTCTTTGCGTTTCAACTTTCTCCAACCAAAAGAAGTCAAAATCAGTCACCTTATGCCCACAATTGAGGCGATCAAGTACAAGAGGCATCTATTGCAACTGCTGCAGTAGTAGGGGGTTTGCTTAATGCAGATAATGTACTATGCGTCTGTTGAAGTTCTTTAATTGTAGCATGAAAGGAGAAGAATATGCCATTGCCTGCCCATGTGAAAAGTATGTGCGGGGATGACAGCAAGAGCTATTCAAACCAGGATCTGTGAACACAACAGTTGTGTTAGAAACTAGAGGATACAAACCCCTCTTGTACAACATTTCTGTGACTGTGGGCATAGATTGCTTGATTTGAAGTTCTACTCTCTGGAATAAGTTGAAGCACAAGGACAACAGCAGCAAATGTGGCTTGCACGGACGAAACTCTACTGGATTTATTCCCTAACGAGTAAAATTGAAGCAGGCTTGAATATCTGTCAATCTCTGTTTGGCCACGGTGTTTTATCTACTTGGGTTTACTAGTGAAACTGGGATTATATTTTCTTGAGAGTAGGTTTTAGTGGGCGGGTGATCTTTAAGAAACTTAAAACATAGCTCCACAAGGCTTCCTCTGCCACATCTGTGTTTGCAATTATATGGGTAAAGAGGGATCCAGGCTTTCTCAGCTCTCACACACAGTCTACTGGTTCCCACCAGGGAAATATTCTGTGTGTGTCTACAGCACTTTAACTTCCAGATATAAGTTAGTATGTGACCTTTTACATAGTGATTAGTGGCTTTGAATTTGTGAGAAAATACAAAAAGAAAAATTTTGATATTAAATTGTCTTTAGGACCATAATGCTGCCCTGCCAACATTAGAACAGAAAATCTGCAGTGGAGCCTAAGGCCTTGCTTACTCTTTCAATAGCCAGATATGCCTGTACCACATTTTTGGTCAGGTATGGTCTACCAGCTGGCATTTGTTACAGTGAGTTTTGTCAATGATATATACATTTTACTTTGCTTCTTTCAAGTTGCTGTTTAAATTATATCCCTTAATGCATAAAACATATTTAACTACAGGTGTATATATCTTGGTTTTATATAGCAAATAACTGTGTTTGAGATTTGTACCACTGTGTGTGCACACATTTTATACACTCACACACACATATAATTCTGTATTTTAAGTAATATAAAGAAGCCCCATTTGGTTAAAACATATTTGGTATGTTTCTTGTTTGTGATATAGGAATTACAGTGTATCATATTCTCTTTTTTGTTCATTTAACTTGTTGGTAAGCCTGCAAATGTACAGATATAAATCACATTCCTTAGACCTTCTTGAAAAAGCCCAAGTTTATGGGTTTGTTGATCCCAGTTCCTTAACTGCATTTGGATTTTTTTTGGGTGTATGCTATTCAGTTGGCTTGTTTTGCTACTCTACTGCTGATTAGTCCTAAGTAAGAAAAAAAACCCTCCCCTTCCCCAAGTATTGCCCCACCTTTGCATTTAACCAATAATCAAACATGATTTAACTAGAGAGCTTGTAGATTTTACACTCATGCTCCACCCTGAACCCTTGCTTAAGCTATTCTTCCTTGGGGTCCTTCTCCCAAGCTAGCCTGGTCTTTCTTACCTCCAGACCCCAAGCAGACAGCCTCACCTGGAGACTGGTGTGGATGGTGGTGATGCTGGAGGAGTGGGGTGTTGCCTTGTGGGCGATGAGGGCACATCGACGAGGTCAGGCATGGCAGGAGACGTGCCTACTGTCTGGGTGAGCACCAGTTCTGGGTCTAGCACAAAGAGCTCATCCTGGGAGATCTCTGTCACATAATTCAGATGTTCCTGAAAAAGTCCAGGTCAGTCATTTCAGGAGGGGTGGGAGGGATTTTTTTTACATTATACAATTATTAACTAAGCAGGGTCTCAACCGAAAATGTAGATTCTAACAAGGGATTCAGTCACTTGAACACAATCCAGAGAAACTTCAATTTTCTTTTTAAGAAAGCAGGATTCCAAACCCAGTGTTCCTGGAGAAAAAGTGAAGTTATAAAAGAAAATATTCTCCCTATGTTTAGGGATGCTGGGGGGGGGGGATCAGAGCACTGGTTGGAGAGACTAAAAGATGGAATCAAGCCATTCTGCTTGTATCAGTTCTAGTCTTTCCACATATACAATATACTGTATCTGTACTTATCCAGGTGAGCCAATCCTATTTACCTAGTCCACAGAAAAACAAAACACAAAACAAAACAAAAAATCCCCCAGATTCTACATTATCAGTCCCCTCCTTGTCTATACACACACATCAAAACTAGAAGTCTTTTCCATGCTCTTTTTACATTGTAGAATTTGAGTTCTCAGGTATGTTTTCTTCTTACTATTGAGGAGCCCAGCTGTTTTGTCTACAAAAGACTTGAAGTCTTACAAACTATTTCAAATGTAGTATGCCTGTGCTATAGAGAAACTACATAATTTCACTGGAGACAAACAATAATTACACTTCTAAATTTTAGGCAGAAAACATGCCTTCTCGAAACTCCTTTTTTCTAGGACATGGTTCTTGAGACTCAAACCGACACATATCCCTAAATTTCTTACACACCAGTTGATCAAGAGCAAAAGGAAAGGTATGATCAAGAAAAGCTGCTTTTTTTTAAAACATGGACTTCCAAGATTGAATCCCTTTCCCACCCCTCACAATAAACATAATCAGAGGCACTCTCAAGGAAATGAAAACCAAGGGGTAGGCATCATCCACACACACATTTCCACAGGAAGCATGCAGACAGACAAGTGCAGAGTTCACAGTCCTCTGGAGAGGAAGCTGGAGCTCACCTGGCCACGGTCTATTCTATAAAAGCGATCTGCTGTAGTTGCTGCAAAAGAGGAAGAGAATACTTCAGTCAGTCAGTCACAATCCCATACTGCAGATTCAAGGTCAGGGTGGAGAATAGTGGCATGCTCATGGGAGAGCAGAACCAGAGATATTCCCTGGCTTGTTGCTCAGCCTCTTAGCCACTCTCAAGTGACTTGGGTCAGAAGAACCTCCTAGAGAGAAGGACATGAACAGGAAAGATTCATGACAATATTTCATTTACAATGAAAGAGTTATGTTGTATGAATACATATGCCGTATATATTTTGTGACAAGTTCCAAAAGGGAATGCCAAAAGACAGTCTAGTAAAGTGGGTGAAGTACTGAACTGGACAGATCCAGGTTCTAGTCCCAACTTTGCCATGAAGCTCACTGGGTGACTACAGGCTAGCCACTGACTCTTAGCCTAACCTACCTCAGTGGGTGGCTGTAAGGAGAAAATGGAAAGGAGAATCATGCAAGCCTCCTTGGATGAGGAAAAATAGTTGAGACATAAATGTAATAACAAACAAAACAGATGCAGCAGGAAATGCCAAAGGGGCACAGAGGACTACTGTAACCAAAATTTAGTTACGAGTGTGGCCTCCCAAGGCTCATTTTGCACCTGTGCCACTTGTTGATTTTTTAAAAAATCATGCCACAGAGGCAGCTCCAAAAAGATGATGATTCTGAGGAAAAAAATCACACTGGCTTTGGAAATGGAAAACTTACCACTTCCCAGGAGCAACATTACAGGCACTCCTGAAACAACTGGTAGTCAAACTTTCTGACAAATCATCACCATCATATTAATATTTCTAATTTTAAAACACTACACAAAGATTTTTAAAATGTTACCGGCCCTGCCCTCAAGGCTTATAATATAAAAATATAGTACTAAAGGAAAATAGCTATGAGGAGGGAAGAATAATATGCACAGCAAGAGAAACTGCCACTCTAGCATATGCTGAACTATATATGCAGCCCACAACAGAAAGATGGAGTAGCAAAGGGAAACTTCCCAAATCTGCTTTACAGCTGTTTTGGGATTTCCTGTGCATCTGGATGATTTACTTGGAGAAGTGCAGGTGTAGGAACTCTTGCCCCTTTGCAAGACACTGATCCAAGTTTTAAGTCTCCATGGGAGTTTATACATCTTCCATATTGTGACAATATATTGTGACATATTTTCTAAGTAATACAAACAGGGTAAGTTAGTTTCTGAGTTCTAATACTGATACTAAAAAAAAAAGACTTTCTAGCCAGTATCTATGAATTTCCCCTATTGCGCTTATATTTATCTCTTTGCTCCTTTCTTCATATTATCTGGTTGGAGGCATAAAATTTTGGAGGTCAGGATGGGGGTAGCAGTTTGTGTTTTTCGTTTAACTCTTCCAGAGAGTAAGTAGGTTGGTTTACTGAAAAAAATCAGTACATCATTCCAGCTCTAAGTTCAATGAATTGAAAAACAAAAAGATAGGGATTAACATAATTACAGAGAACATTTGTACAATTACAGAGGGAAAGGATTTAGGCCATGATCTAAAATACATTTTCAAAAAAGTAAATTCCACTGAACACTGTTATTTCCAACATGCATTTGAGCGGGCTTTAAAGACATGCGCTATATTTTCTTCCTTTCTTTTATTCATTCTATTACTAGAATACGTTGCATTAATAATATCCATGCTCTAAGTAATTTTGAGAATATATTCTCATGTCCCAAGTACATCTAGTCAGTGTCACAAATGGCAAAAAAACAAAACAAGGAAGTGATGCTTTCTCTAGATTCATCAATCTGAAGTAAGTGTAAATTGTATGAACTTGCCCTCGTATAGCCAACTATACTGCACTAAATGCACTGGAAGAATGAGGAAAATCCTCCTCCTGCAAATTTGAGCTCTAAAAGATACAGCAGGGAGGAGTAGGAGATCGTACATGCTGCCCTCAGCTCTTCAGAGGAAAAGGCAGGATCAGTGCAGCTAATAAATATAATGTAGGAGTTCTGCGACTATTTAAATGATGGGAAGAAGAATTTTGTGTGTATTCCATCTTGAGAATATATGCATTACAGTAATGCATGTTATGACCAAGAAAAGCTGAATTCTGTTACTCTCCTTTTAAAAACCAACATATTAAGCAGCTGTGTATTTACTATAGCAGTGCTCTTCACTGCAAGGCCTGAGGGCCACTGGCAACAGCCCATAGGTTTAGGTAGGGCTCCCGCTCTCTCTTTCACAAAATCTTTTTGCAGTAGCCACTCAGTCTCTGCAAGTGCTCTTTAGCATTGCCTTGCATGTAAGAATCCAATTTCCAGGGAGTTCAATGCCAATTGTGCAAACTGGTTCTTAGAGTCTGAACACACACTGGAGAAGTCTAAGGTGTCCCAAACCTCTCTGGTTTAACCTTGGTATGCCGTCTAAGGAATTTCAACTCCCTATTCTTTTGAAAATGCATCTTCAGAGTCTGGTGAAGCAAGTAGTTCAAGCAGGATACTAGTCATGGTGCCATCAACCCTCTTCCCAACAGAAATCTGGTGAGCCAGTAGAATTCACATTAAGAAATTTGTTGTCTTGGTCCTCTTTCTTAATTTATACAAAAGGGTTAGCTAGGATACACTCAAAATTCCAAATTGCACAATTCAATGGTGAGAGGATGAAAACAAAGCAAGCACGGATAAGTCATAACAGGCATGGCAATACTCCTTGGGCATATGAACTGTGAGGCTTTAACTTGAGGGCTTCTCACAGGTTAAACTGGGAGTGGGGAAGAGACCTATTGCTTGGGTAACTGAATCAAGTTGCATTGTGGGAGCTTTTGTTACCTTCTTTGATTTCCATAGGGCTGAGCAGGACTGTGGTCGGGCTGAGGTTGCTATGGTTGGGCCCTACAAAGACTAGGGAATTCTCATTGGGAATGGAGCAGAAACAGTGGGGGGAAGGGAGGGGTGTCCATGATACAAGCCAGAGCAGATTAGAGGAGTGAAAGAGCCTCGTTTATCCTGTCCTGGGGAGAGATTTACAGCCACAGAGAAGTTGATGAAGGGAAGTAATTCAACCATTTTAATGAGCCTGTGTTCCCCTTGAATGTAGCTCCAACCTTTTCCATCGACACATTTTCCTCAGTTTGGAACATGCTGCTGGGAAACTGGCAAAGAAGAAGACTACGACATCAATGAAGGACAACGATGCAGAAGATCTCTAGCACCCAATATCTGGGAACAGGTATCTCCACCTCCCTCTCCCTCACACACACAGAGTCAGCATCAGTGATCTCACCCCTTTCCTCTGGATCAGAGATTATGCAATGATGTGCATTTGGAAGAGCAATTTCCTCTACTTCTGAAGAGTAAGGAATGGGAGCTGTGGGGAGGGTGCAAAGCTAATAATTAAGTGGCCAACACTGATGCAAGGTTAGCACTTTACAGTTCTTTGAGAGCCAGGGCTGGGCATCTTTTTTTTTTAAATAGCTAATTGGGAACAGAGGAGTGTGGGAGTGACCAAATGCAATGAAAAGAGAAGGAAGAAAGGATGGAAGGATGCAGAACAGGCTGTAAATGAGAATGAGGTTTGAGGTGAGCATAGTCCCTTCCATTGCCCCCTTGGCTTAATTTTGCCTATGCATTTCACTTGCTTGCTTTCTCCAGAACATCCCTGAATCAGTATTAAATGCCACTGCACTAGGGGCTCTCACTGTACATTGGGTCTCCAAACCCTTGCTGTTGTTAACAGCAGCAGAGGAGGCCTGTGCAGCAAATCAGTCCAATATGCCATGCAAGCTGCTCCCTATGTGTTTGGGAACTTACTTTAGGGGCACAAAAGCCCTTATTGTTCCAGAATGTGGGAGAGCCTCAGAGTCTTATCCAAACCATATCTGAGAAATAGCACAAAAAGTGCTTCCAAAATTGAAATATGCAGCATGGAAGGGGTTTAGGAATACACAGCATCATCTCTTCAGGTGGTGAGGCAGAAGTGGGGAGAAGAGAGGCTGAGAAAGGAGTTGGAACAAAGCCATGTTTGTAAACAAGTCTATGCTGCCCTGCCAAGCATTCAGGCATATTCTACCAAAACACAGCCAGTTGGGTCACAGGCCTTGCAAGATGGAAAAAAAACCCAGAACAAACCAGTCCCTCTTCCTTCTCCTTGCCTCATTACTCCCACAGTGCAAACGCTATAATTGAATTTGATATACAAAAAGGAATTTTATGTACAAAGAGTAACTCTGAATGTAGTTATTCATTGGTCTGGAGAGCTAATGATGGATCAGGATGGCGAAACAGCCACATCCTCCCCACTCATTTTCTTACAGAGCCATCTGCTGGAGAACAGCAGCAGTAACACCGCTCAGAGATGACACACTCCAAGGTGAAGTGGCATCAGGTACAAAGTCTATTCTGGCTCCATTCTCTGATGGCACCCAGTAGAATCTTCTGCATGGAGGATGAGGAACTCACTCTGATGAGCTTTTGCTCATCCTGAGGCCTGGTGTGGATGCTAATTTCCTGAAACAGAAGGCCACTTTATCTAGAGTCAGACCACTGGTCCAACTAGCTTCAGTAGTATTGACACTGACTGCCAAGAGGCTCTTCAAAGTATCAGACAGATTAGTTTCCAAGCTAACCTGAAAACCACCCAGAGAGCCCTCTTTGCTGTAGAGTGGTATACAAATGTAATAAATACATACACACATAACTTAGAAATAGCACTGATTGAACCTGGGCCTTCTGGAAGCAATACATTTGTTTGTTTGTTTGTTTGTTTGTTTAAAGCCTTTGAATGCTGCCCAAATGTGCCACAGCACTTCTGGGTGTATCACAGTCATAAGATAAAATACAATGAAAACTAATTACAACACATTAAAACACAATATTAATAACATATGGATAAAAATGCAAAACAGAAGGTTGAGTGGCATTGACTATTAAAGTATTTTTTAAAAAGAAGGTCTTTGCCTGGCTCCGAAAAGAATATAAGGAAGGTGCCAGGCGAATCTCCTTGGGGAGAGCATTCCAAATATGGGGAGCAGCTGCAGAAAAGGCCCTCCTCCTAGCGGCCATCCCTCTCACCTCCTTAAGGGATGGCAAACACAGGAGGGTCCCCTGTACAGATCTCAAAGGCTGGGTAGGCACATATGTGTGCAAGCGCTCAAGGTAATCGGGGCCTTTATATCTCAACACAAGCGTACCTGGAATTGGGCCCAAGCCAAAACTGGTAACCAATGCAGTTCTTTCAATATAGGTGTTATGTGGGCTGCTTCAGGGGCTCCCATCACCAACCCCTGTTACTCTACCCCTATTAAGGAACAGGAATTAGCTATGGGACTTCAGGCTGAGAATACTACAGAATAACACTACAGGACTGCAAGCCTGGAAGTAATGTCTGTAGCAGGCCCCTATTTTAGTATCTCCTGAGAGCATTTTGCCCCACATGAGACTTTCCTGTGATCCTTACAGACTCAAACATGTCCAACTCCCAAGTCTAGTTGCCTCCCCATGCCTGTAAAGACTTCTTCCCATGTATCTTCCATATAAAAGGAAAGGATAAATGAGGAGACAAAGTAGCCAGACCATTTCAGCTACAGCTTGACTAAGGAGGCTTTACTCAGAGCCTAGTGCCTATGGGAACAGAATATTCTTCAGTACAAAGACATCTCTGTGGCCCACAGTGCTTATTCACTGACCAAATGAAATTCAATATGGGACAGGTACTGCCAGGTACACTGGAAGTTATATCAGGCCTGTCATTCCTCTGCTGACTCAGTCAAATTTGGGGTCATAAGCTCCTGGGGTAAAGCTCATATCTGCATGCAGAAGGTCTCCAGTTCAATCTCTGGCATCTCTAGGTGGGGCTTGGAAACAGACCACCCCCATCTGAAATCTTGGAAAGCTGCTACCTGTCAGTGGTAACAATACTGAACTAGATGGTTCCATAGTGTGACTTGGGGTAAGACAGTCTCCTATTTAGCAAAAGGAGGCTGCAAAAAAACAGTAGGGAACAAGTTGCATTCCTAAAATGTAATACACAGTGCTGTTTGGGTTCTACACAACATAAAACTGCTTAGAGATGTGTGTGTGTGTGTGTGTGTGTGTGTGTGTGTGAGAGAGAGAGAGAGAGAGAGAGAGAGAGAGAGAGAGAGAGAGAGAGACTCCTACAAGATGGTAGCATTACACAGTGGAAGCTTTGATGCACCAGCTCCCACTTACTGACTGTAGCAGTGGCGGGCAACTTTTGCCTAAAACTCCATCAGTGCTAACCTGGATAGTCAATGGTGAGAGATGGAAAGGGTTAGGAATATAGGAAGATTCTTCTTATCAAATCAGAACATTGGTCCATCTAGCCCAGCATTAACACTGACCAAGGCAAGAATTTTACCTACCTGACCTGGAGATGCCACAGATAGCAAGGCATGAGCTGTGCCCCTGAGCTATGCAGTTGTAGGTCAAAACATCAAAAGGGCCACAAATTGCCCATATGCCTATCTCCTACACCTTCCCATCCCCACTATGTACACTTGTACTCACAGTCCAGGAAGCACCATTTGGGGGACAGCTTCTGGCATGACAGCGTCTTTGGTTTGGCTCCATCCCTGTCCTGCATCAAAATAAGCAAAATGTATCAGGTCTCCCAAGTACTTTTCTATCCGGACTTCACTTATATAAATCTTTTCTGGCTTCTTTCTGCACAAAGGGCTTAGGTGAATTCAATGCGTGTGTTGGGAAGAATTGGTAAGCATAGACTTGGAGCACACAGATATGGCTCAACAAAGATGCATTGAAAGTTGCTGGACAGATATTGAAACAAGCTCCCCATGCATGACACAGGCAGGAAAAAGAAGATGGCAGCTGCCAACAAGAGAGAGGCAGAGATACACACCTGAGGAAATAGGCTCTGAATAGTAGAAGAGCATGGAGGGAAATCCTGTGGAAAGGGAAGAGCTGGGTTATCACCACAGTTTTGATGCACATGCATCTCCCCCATAGGAAACTGCAAAGCATCCCTCATACCTGCTTAAGCAGCCAGCCTCTGTTGCAACCATATTAGCTTGTGTAACACAGTCTGTGGCTCTACAAGCCATTGCAGACAAGTGGTCCAAAATGTGGTAAACAGATTTTGGAGGAGGGGAAAAAGAAACAGTAAAATTGTGAGTTAAGGCCATGAGCTAATAGCAGCCCAAGGGTTGCTGTTTCACGGCACATATTATATTATGCCCGTTCTCCGTGGAACAATGTAAAGGAACTGCTGCTTCCTAAAATTGTCTTTTTGGACCAGAAAAAACTTTTCGGGGTTCGAGTTTCTTCCATACTGAACATTATTTACTTCTAGTGTGGCATGCATCATTACCTGGCTGACACATAAGTGCTGGACAAAAGATGACTCAGAAATGTGGTGAAGAAAGAGAAAGAGGTTGCTGGAGGCTTACAAAAAACTGAACCACAACCTCCTTTTCATCATAATCAAGCGCTAGCGTGTGGCCTTCTCCATGCAATCACTCACTTGAGCCAAAGCAGGAAGCTAGCAGGATTTCCCAACTAAAGGAAATTTGGTGTGTCACTTAAAGAGTTGGCATGGTAAAGTGCAAGCTCCTTTCAGAATGGGAGGCAGCACAGGACTGAGTCTTTGGATAAAGGCAGAATACAAATCCATGTAAATGCTAGGCAAAGTAATTGCTGAGTAAATTCTCTCCAAGTTTGAAGAACAAGTCAATTATTATTCTAAAAAACATCGGTTAAAATTGAAACTAAAGTCCTATATCCATAGCATTTTTCTAGTCATATAAAACAGCATTTGAATGTATGCATATCTTCCCCACACCCTTCCTACATACCTTCTTGGCTTACACCAAGAACAACTACTTATTTGTTATGGATATTTATGTATTTCCCTTCCATCAAATTCCCAGGGTAGCTTACAAAGAATGCTGTACTTCCCTTTTGCCAAAACAATACAGCACACAGTGTCCAACTTTCTTCCTCTTTGTTTTGTCCACGAAATCATCACCACTATTCCATTTTTATTTGACTGGATAGGTCACAAGACCAGGGGTGCTGAAGTCCATGGCCAAATCTACCCTACCTAAGGTCACTATCTGGCCCTCTTGGGTTTCCCAGAGACCATACCACCTTTCTTTTTTCACCCAACGGCAAACTGTTTGACAGTTTATTGGCTTTTGCACACCGCCCCCCCCCCCCCGCGTTCTAAAAGGTCCAAATGTTTCTTCTGAGGTCTAATTTTTGCCAGGAAGAGTTAAAATATACTGATACTTTTAGTCCATTTCATTTGCCCTTGGTTGTGCCTACCCAAAATGCAACCCACCACAACAAATGGCATTTTGACATTTGATTTGACCTTCAATTTGAAAGAAGTTCGATACCCATTCTGAATCAAATGAAAGCAGTGGTAACAACTGCTGTTCAATCAAGCATTATACTGCATACCAAGAGTAATTACACTGGGGAAGTACAGATGTTCTAGTGGCAGGAGTATTCCAGAGGCACGCTACTTCAATTGGTAACCTATTGCATGGTTGCACCCTCCTCTTCTTCAAGAGGTTTTGTACCCTCTCACCTCCTGCAGCTTTTCAATGTGAGTTCTGCATAATTCCAGGTCACTGTCTCCCGGCACAACAATAATTCCCAGTGGCACAGCTGCAAGGTGAAAAAACACATTCAGAAAACATTATCTGGCTTGCTAAGCATATTCATGAAATATTTATTTAAATAAACCAGTGCAGCCCTCATTGCAATGCATTGCTTTAAAACATGCTGCAGATTGACCATGCTCATGGGAAATGGTCTTAAAGGGTAAAATCAAGGCCAGCCCAATCCTTAGGCAGAGTGAGTCAGTAGTTTGTATCAAGAAGCTGCCTATTCAGGGTAACTATTAGTGGGGAATCATCAGGATGGCAGTTGGTGACGAGAGGGGTCCCTGGGCTCTGTCCTGGGACTGATCCTGTTCAATCTTTTCATCAATGACCAAGAAGAGAGGGTGACAAGTCTACTGATCAAATTTGCTGATGATACTAAAATAGAGGCAGTGGCCACAACTGAGGAGCAGGTACTCCAGTTCCAAAAGGATCTGGGCAGACTATGGAAGTAGGCAGGGGACAACAGGATGGCATTCAATGTGGATAAGTGCAAGGTCTTGCACTTGGGGCATAGGAATGGGTGTCATAACTACATGTTAGGGGACAAGTGGCTGGAGAACAGTACTTGTGAAAAGGATCTCAGGGTGCTGCTTGACTGCAGGCTAAACATGAGTCAGCAGTGTAACTCGGCAGTCAAGAGGGCAAATGCCACCTTTGGATGGATAGCCAAAAGTGTGGCTTCTAGACTCTGGTGCACCTGCAGCTGGAGTACTGTGTTTAATTTTGGGCCCCTCATTGCAAGAGGGATATAGCAAGGTTGGAACTGGTGCAGCGTAGGGCCACAAGGATGGTGGCTGGTTTGCAGGGTAAGCTATATATATTCCAGTGGAGCAAAGCTCAGGGAACCAAGATTCAAGGTGGATGCCAAGAAGTACTTCCTGACAGTTAGGGCCCCTAGGGTATGGAATGGGCTTCCACAGGAGGTGGTTGAAGCCCCATCGGTGAGGGTATTTAAGGATGGTAGGCATGTCATGAGTGGAGCTGGCTGGAGCCAGGGGTCAGACTAGATGGTCTAGGAAACTCTTTCTGGCTTGCTCTCTTTCTACTTACAGGCCTCCTTGAGCTTCTCCTTGTCGTAGTGAAGTGCTTCATAGTCATGCATGCCAATTCGGCTTACGCGGATTCTCAGCCGTTCTGGAACTGGCTGCTGACTGTTGTTGGCAAAGCAAGAAGGAAAAATGATGAGAGAATTAGGGCTGAAGCACTGGAAGGGGGAAGGTGAAATGCTGTGTGTGGGGAAGGGACATTGGAGGGAGAACTATGGCAACAGAAAATGCTCCTTAAGAACAGCCATTAGAAGTAAACATACAAACATACACACACCCTTTGCTTGTAGATAAGAATTCAAAGCAACAGTTGAATTCTCTTTATCTAGATACCCACTGGAGAAAATGCAGAATGCTTCTCTCAGATTGCATTTGCATGGACAACCCCCACTTTGGCATTAGTTTTATAACATTTTAAATTGTGCACACTGAAACAAGTCATTCAAAAAGCAGAGGAGAAGCCAAACCAAAGGCCACACAGGGCATACCTGTGCCCTCATGACTTTATTCATAGCAATTACTCTATTCCATCATATACTTACAGTGCACACAAGCCACAGGAAAGAGAGCTAAGACTCCTGGCTCCCCTGGGATTTTTTTTTTAATGTGGTAATATAAATTTTTAATAGAGTCCCAAGGGCCCAATCTCGGCAAACTAGAGAAGAGTTTAAGATGGAGGTGGATGTTGCCATTTTACTGCTATGGTAACCCTGTAAAACAGGAGCGTGACACACTTCTGTGTGGATGTACTCTGGGTATGAGGCTAAGCCTGTATAGAAGGCTATGAATATTTGGGGAGTGGAAATCCCCCCAGATCTGCCCTTTCAATGGACCATGAATATGCTAGCAATGCAATACTGGAAGCTGTGTGACAAAAATCTTGTGGTGATTGTCAATGTTTGGAATCCCAACAAAATGGGTCAGTGAAAAAAATATATTTATTTGTAATCTTCCCCTGGGATCACACGGCCCTGCTTTCTCTATCCCTCTTTCAAGTGTTCTATCAAGATCTAGAATAGGGCTGAGTCTTCCAGATAAAACCAATTAAAATAGAATGTTGTTTATTCAGCACTGTCTTTTGAGACCCAACAGGATAGAAATCCAACTGATGTCAACTCAAGTAAGCCCTGAGATCATAAAAGCTGCTTCTGCTATAGGAACAGGAAGCTAAAAAGTTAGCAAGGCAGACGTTCACCACATGGTCAGGTTGTATACTCGGAACAAGTGAGGCCACATTCACACTTCACACCAAAGCCTTAGGGATGGTTTCTGTGTCAGATAGAACGTACTCATTAAGTAGAGGCATGGAATTGCGCCTCTTGGTCTTCTGCACCATGTTGGCCTGGTTACGCAAGGAAATCCGGATACAGGAAGCCCCCAGCTTACAGGGCTCACCATCCACTTGCATGGGGATGGCCTTGGATGTGGTCAGCAGCACCTCCCGGCACTGGTGCAACCGCTCTCCATGGCCGCCCACCTGCAGTGCTGCCTGCAAAAGAAAGAGGAGCATACATGAGAAAGATGACCAAAACTCAACTTCAACAGGAAATCATAAGTGAACTAACTTGGGTCCCAAAGTGTTTTCAGTTCAGTCTAATAGTAAGAAGCAGTCTAATGGAACAATGAGAACTCTTTTTGCAAGGCAAATTGCTAGCACTTGGCCCCTGACTTGGATCAGGACTTCTAATGTTGGGATTAGGGTGGCTTAAATCCTCTGTGAACCTGACCTGGATTTTGCCCCCTGCACCAGCATTTTACCTTGCAAAACAAAGTCCAAAGAAAGTCTCCACTGGGGACTCCAGCTTTATCTTGAGATTCTAAGAATGAATCCTTGGCCTTATATACACTAAACAAGTATTTTAACACAAGGAATGTTCAAGAAGCCCTTTAAGGAGTTGAACCTACAATTGCAGCAGCAGAATGCACAATGCTTGCATCAGACAGTACCTCTAGCTATGCTGGCAGTGGTATAAAAGAAAGAGAATTTACTTATCTTGGTTAACTAATCAGGCTTGGTTTACAGGACTAACATGGCTCATGGAAAGTTTCCATCCAGTCTGCCAGCTTCCCTATCTTTGATCACTGATAAAGTTTTGCTTGCACCCCACCCAGGACGCATTTGGGCTTTTGGGTATCATCCAGAGATTGTTTGGGTTAGATCCAGAGTGTTGCAGTGGCCACAAGTGTTTGCTGTCCCAGGGAGGAGTTGCACTACATGTTTAAAAAGAACCCCCAAAATAGTGAGCTATTTCTGCACCTGATTCACCAGCTATCAGGGTGGAGATGACTTACCAGGGATGTCATGGTGAAGCCAATGACCTCAAGGCAACCATCATCATGGCGCTGAGGCTCAAAGTCATGGTGCTCTCCAGGGTTCCCCCAAGGCATGGTGCCTGCACAGTACCTGCACGTGCACAAGAAGGGAGAAAACGCTACTGGGGACAGATGGCAACATGCCTTGAATCCTGCCCTATGGAAATCAGAGAAGGGGAAACAGAGATTAAAAGGCACTGTGCCTCTCTGGTCCACTCACCTTGGAATGTTTAGGAAGACGAGACATTGAGGCTTTAGGTCTTGGATTTTGGGTGTCAAGTCTGTCCCATCACACTAATGAGAAAAAGGTAACAGTCAGCTGTCCAGCTAGGCTGCAACAGGGAAGAATTTCCTCTCTCATAATACTTAAGAAGCCACGGTCATCCCATGAAATGGACTGGTAAGAAAGTCAGGACGGCTAAAAGGAAGTTCTTCTTTATGCAGCTCATAATTAAACTATAGCATACACTATCACAGGATGTGGTGATGGCTGCCACTTTAGACAGTTTTAAAGGGAGAATGGTTACTTGTGGTGATGGCTAGGTATCAACTCCAGCATCAGATAGTTTGTCTCTCAGTACCAGCTCCTGGGGCACATTAGAAAGATGCTGTTCACTCATGTGCTACCTGTAGGTTTTTCACAGGCAGCCGACTGGCCATTGCTTGGACAGAATGGTGTACTAGAGGAACTTTTACTTCCAGTATGGTTCTCCTCATGGTTTCTCCATCCCATTTGTGGGAGAACTAAATTTGCACTGGCTCTTAAGGCAAGAAAACATTTTTGAGGATAACGTGTCTCCAAATGCCTTTCCTAATAGGGACTGGCTTCCTCAACCCAGCCAATAACCTTCTCTTAACAATGCTCTACAGAACCGATCAGCACCACAGCACACTCACCACCACTTTGATGTGTTTTGCTAAGTCTTTGGAGCTCCCCATAAGGAAATCAGAGAACGCCGTCTGCCAGCAGAAAAGAAAGCAAGTTAGATCACAGATGTTGACCTTGTGCCTGAAAGGACAGATGGATTTGAGCCAATTTATCAAGCTTCACTTGAGGTGTATATGCATTGTTGTTTCATGCTTCAGGTGAAGCAGACAGAATAGAGGAGTACCGTTGCCATTTAAACCGAAACAATGTAATAAGGGTAATTATATAGCATGGAGTAACACATCAGCATACACCTGACTGTTCTTTGCCTCACTGACACTACACCTGGTTCCAAACTACATTAAAAAGAGAGTGCACAGTAGAGAACAGATCCTAATTCACTCTTGGCTTGGGTAAATCTAAACATGCACATGTGACTTTGGTATAATATCAAGGTTCCCCTCTGCTGAGCTGCATCCAGTGCTGAGTTGAAAATGCCCCCCAATTTCAAATCCCCATTCACAAGCTAGAAAAGTGAGGACTCTTTCAGTTACTGAAAGGTGGTGGAAAACTTATATTTAAACCAAGAAGGTAGGGAAACTACCCCCACTTTCCCCAGTAAGGCCCATGTTCTTGAAAAGAAAATCTAGATTTTCCTCCCTTTTGCACCCAAACTCCATTTTCCACAGTTTTGCAGAAAATATGTCATGTGGTATGTTTGACTCAGAACTAGCCACTTCTGAGTTTTTCAAGTGTACTTCTTGTCATATCCTTAACTATGTTTTCTGTCTATATACTAAAAAACCAGCACCTCTCCCTCCCCCACATCCAACATCAAATGCTGGCAATGCCAAAGAATTCTCATTCGTTTGGCTTATTAATTCTGAGAAAATATTGTAAACATAAATGTTCCCACAGGTATCATTTCAAAAGCCTGCCTGGAACAAGGTAACATTAAAATGGGACCTGTCCTCAGACACTATACATGTTATAATAAATGTCTTTTTGGGGATTTTGAAAACAAGACAGAAAGTATTGATTAGCACATGACCAAACAACCTGATGAACTCACCCCAGCATAGAACATTTTATTTCGAAATCGGCTATTAAATTTTTCTGGATTTGCCTCTGAAGGGAGAAATTAATTATTAATAATTTGTTCTCAGAAAGCAAAGTCCCTTCCCCACCCACCGTCTTCAGAGCTGCAGTTCATTTTCAACTGCACCTTCTCTATATGCACATTGCCCTATTAGAACAAAATCAAAGGAAAAGTTATCTGCAAAGCTGGCCATCCCTTGCCACAATGCATTCACAATCTATTGCATATCAGGAGTAGAGAGCTAGTGCTAGTTCAGCATTAGCAAAAAATATGTTTTGGCCTTTAACACCCATCATCAGTCACAACTGGCTGTGCTGATGGGAACTGTATGCCAAAACATCTGGAGGACCACCCTTCTGTTGAACAAGAATGACATTAATTGTACTTCTCAGCCAACCCCCTCAAATTCATTCCAGGTTTGCATAACTAAGCTGTAGTGGTTTATAAGTCATACTGGTTTAGCTTGTTGTCTAAACCCAGCACTCTCCCTGAAGGGTGGTTTATAAGCCCTGCTGGGCACCTTATATACTACCCCAACTAACCATAGTTTGTAGTAGGGTTGAATGAACCCACTGTGACTTATTGGCTGGTTTGGTATGCTTAACACATTAAACCCCTTGGGAATTTTAACTACACAGATGATCAGGCAAAGCAGGGATTGTGCACCTTCCATATCCTCCTGTTCCACCCTCCTTCTTGCTTCAGTCCTCCTACTGTATTCCAGGCGGTGCTGAAGGAGCACCAAGATGTCCCCTGTGCATTCTCATCATCATCTGCAGCAGCAGCAAGCAAACAACTTAGCACAGGCCACAACTTGACTGTTTTTTTAAAAAATGTTCTGCATTATCCACAGTTGGGAAAGTGAGAGCAAGCCCGGGACACATGAACACTACCCAAACCCCTGAGGTTTCTGCTATAAATGTGCTTTCTATACACTAAATTCTTGGGGTGGGGGGGGAAGCTAGCAGAGGACTACAAAGTTGCAGTCCAGCATGGACACTTGTCGGCATGGACATGTAGTCCATTGCTATTCAGCAGACTACAGCTCTTCTGCCTTCAGTTCATCACCTCCAGAAACCAAAGCTGTCTTTTTGGACAGGAATCTCCAGCCTACCTGAACACACATAAAATATGGTGCTCTGTAAGCATCAGCTACAATGCATATTTATTGCCATTTACCTCGGGACTCATGGAACTCCAGTGTCACTCGAGCATCAAAACCAAGGCTGAAATAATTATTAAAGACATCAAGAGGAAGCTGAAACAGAGAAAATGAAGCCTAGCATTGATAAGAATGAGGTGACTTTTCAAATAATCAGTAGATACCTGGATGTAGCTAAGCAAGAAAAGTAGAATTCACAGACTGAATTTGGATGACACACTAAGTCACCAGGGGATAGCTTAGCATGAAACACAAACCAGACTGCTTTCCTTGAAGTGGCTTACAACTGCAGTAACACAGTAAGATGCAATCCAGTCAAAATTTAGTCCTTCAGCCAGAGTAGCGAAAAAGAATTGCTCAAGAGGAAGGCAAGAAAAGCATCTTGTTTCCCTTTTTGCCACTTGGGAGAAAGTAGAAGAGATGGGAAGTATCTTCTGCCTTTCCATCATCCAGTAGGGCCAGTGGTCAATGCCACCTTTGCCAGAAGGAGTGGGGACATGGGTCACACCCAGTGCTGGCCTTCTAAAAATCAATCATTTTTGCCATCCACTGTTTCAGAGTACTTTTTCACAGTTATCTGATTTGATTGTTTACACACAGTAAATATCCATTATGAATAGGAAGGGTGCATTATTTTCCTAACATGAACATTTGTGGTTATGCTTAGAGTGTGTGTTCCTATAATTGAAATGAGAAAGATACATATGGAGCATTCTTCCTTGGGAGTGGCAGTTGAGCTAAAAGTACAGCGCATCAGCATTGTGTTTAGTGCCAAAAGCACTGTGAGGTTACCTTGTCTGTGGCTGTCTCATCCTTCTCTTCAGGGTTTGCATCAACATTTGGTTCCACCTGTAGATTCCAACGGTCAAGCTGCACAATCTCCCCCTCTTCTACATGTGATAGGATTTTTGACAAGGGCTCGTCTGTGTAGCCCTGTGGGTTGAGAAGTTCTTTATGAAAAACTGAGACTGTGAATTCATGTTATTTCAATTCAACCTCAGATTAGATTTACAGGATTGACTTGACACTCAGACAAGTAATGAATCAGCAAAGTCTTACCCCACCCCAGTTCAGTGTTCTTGCCAGGTCATTTCCTGTCCCCAGAGGAAGGATGGCCACAGGAGGTGGAGGATTCAGGCGTAACTGGTCCAAAATGGAAAGTATCCACCCCACCTATTCAGTCAAGAAAGACATCAGAGATTCAGATAATTCTGCTAGGAGAATGCATTGCCCACTCTTTGACTTCTGCTTTTGACCATAGTTCCTACATTTACCAGCAAAGACCAACTCCAAAATGTGGCAAAATGGAAGGAATGAAATACTAGTGGAAGTCCACAAGGTAGCAGTAGAAACAGTTCATAACTTAGCTCATAAGGATATGTTAAAGAATGGACACAGCAAGATAATGGTACTTAAAGAAGTCAGCCAGATGATTAATCTTAGCTAACCAGCCTTTCTATTGATCTACAAGCATAGACGGTGTTCACTGATACTGTTATCTTTAGCATGCTATTCAACTTAGCAGCCTAGTTGAAGGTGGAACACACTACAACTTGGGACATGTCATCCTAAATTATCACAGCTGCATTATAAATTTCAGAGGATCTCACATTTTCCACCATATGAAAGACCAGTGGGCATAGATCCCAGTTTTGCTGCTGGTATATACTAAAGGGATGAACAATCACTTACAGTACCATCTCCTCCACAGGCCAGAATCCGTAGATTGTGCACTTTACGATACATCTCCAACCTACACAAAACCAAGAAGGAGGCAGTTAAGAGAGAAGAATGGAATAAGCAGTGTGAATCGGAACCCTATGGACAAAATCTCATCAAATTTGACCCTCATTTCCACAGAATCTTTTGGAAATGTAGATTTACATTGTAAAACAAAAAAGTTGGATAAAAATCAATCACAGCACAGTTATTTTTAGAGCTTTTCCTCAACCTGTCACAACAATCAATGTCTTCATTTTGTTGGAATGAAGTCACTTTGTTGCCAAAGGTATGAAAAGAAGGAAGTACTGGAAAGGAAGGATTGTGTTTTCCTTTGGATATTACCTCTTGAGCCTCAACTCAAAACCATGAGGCTCTCCTTCCAAGAAGCAGAAAGCAGAATGGCTAGAAGATGCAATTAAAGTCATTAACATTAGCAGTAAGCTTAGTGTTGAAAGCCAGTGCAGTAGCTAAAATGTTGTGCTGGATCTAGGAAATTCAGATTCAACCACAAAAACTTGCTTCATGACCTGGCAGAAATCATTCTCTCTTAGTTTAATCCACCTCATGTGGTTGTTTATTTCATCAAGCCCACTCTTTTCTTTAGACTCAACTATTATTAATATTAAGTCCACTTCTATACTGCCCATAGCTGAAGTTCTTCAGGCTGTTCACAAGAAAAAAACAATAAAATACAATACAAGAAACAGCACTCAAAAATAATTGAAATATTAAATACAATAAAAGACCTGGTCTGAAGAAAGACAAAAGGCACCTGGCTAAACCTATCAGACTCCTAGATGACCAAGGAGATCTTTAAAGACCTCCACAAACAGGGCTGTCTTAACCTGGTGCTGAAAAGAAGGCAAATTTGGCACCAGGCAGACCGCAGCAGGGAGAATGTTCTGAAGATGTGGGGCATTACAGAAAAGGAACCCCCCTAGTTGCCATCCTCCAAGCTTCCTGAGGGTTAGGGAGGCACACAGGCAGCCAATGCAGGCCACAACTGTCTTATAATAACAGGCCTGGTCCCAGTTATTAATCTGGCTGTCTCATTCTGTACCAGCTGCAGCCTCTGAACCGTCTTCAAGAGCAGCCTCATGTAGTGTGGACTGCAGTAGACCAATCTAGAGATTACTGGAGCATAGATTACTGAAGGGTCAAGCCATCCCTGTCCAGGTAGTGGCACAGCTGGGCCACCAGGCAGAGGTGGCAAAAAGCAGTCCAAGCCATCAATGCCACCTAAGTTTCAAGTGACAAAAATGGACCAGAAGTTTCATAATATGTTAGGTATTACGAGTATCACAGATTGAAAGGTTCTGCTTTAGACAGCTAGGTAGATTGAGACTCCAGCATGTACTATGCATGAAGAAGGTCTCAGGTTCAAACTCCAGCTTCTTCAAATAGGGTTAGGAAAGCATCCTGACAGAAACTTGAAAGCTGCTGCCAGTCAGTGTCAACAGTGCTAGGCTAGATGGGCCAAGGATCTGACTTGGTATAAGGCAGTTGCCTATGTTCCTAGTAGCTTATATAGTACTCTCAGTGGTGACACATTCAGGTTCAGATTTGCTTAGCTTCAGGTGCTCCCAAGACCGTTCATTGTTGTGCAGCAACGAAGTACCACTCCGTCCTTGAAAGAAAGGGATGATGCCAATATAATACAAAATACATAGGGGTTTCCCCAGTAATTTCAGAACCTGTGCCAGCTGGAAATGAGGCATTGCTATTAGGATTGCACTAAGACTCCTCTGAAGTGCTACTCACGCCTCTTTGGGGCCTCCTTGGCTGAGATCAAAAACTTGCCGAGGGTTGAGGTACCACAGAAACGACTGGAATATCTTTGTTCCCTAAAAGTACGGAGGAAGAAAAAGAGCTAGGAAAATAGGAAACAAGTTGCAGAAGGACGGAAGCTGAAAGATTAATTGATTGGCATATAATTTGCAACCAAAAGACTGGAATGATAGAAAAATAAACCTACCTGATTCCCACCACTCTTGGGGTTCACAAATACCAACAGTGGCTTCATGAGTGGTGCTGGGATGGGCTTGATGACAAAAGGTTTCCATCTCCCTTCCTGAAAGAGATGCCCAAAACAATGCACATCAAATGAAGAAATAGGAGTACTTGTCCATGGGGCTTAAATTTTTCTGTACCACCCCAGATGCTGTGACCAGTAAGTCCCACATTATGTTACTGAAGCACACTGTACAAAATAGGACAAATATTCATGAATTAACATTTCCTGCCACTTTTGCCAGCCTGCTCTCTTGCTTGCATGGAATCTTTGCCTTCACTTGCATGCAATTCCTGGTTGCCTATAGCTACAGGCTGCAACATTCATATTTGAATATGTCTTTAGAGTTTGTAAAGCAAACAAGGCTGATTAGAACAATTGCATTTTGATTTAAACATGTTTCTCTTTCGCTATTTCCAGCACATTAAAAACATTCATAACTGAACCACTTGGAACCTATAGTCTAGTCCTATTTCTATCTCTTCTGCAGAAAATTCTTCATTTTGCTCCATACACCATTCTAGTTGTAGACCTCTTTCAACCTAGCCCTAACCTCTTACCTCAGGCCCCTTTTTGCTGGATTTCCGCTTGAATGATGTCCTCTTTTTCTTCTTACTTGACTTTAGTGGATTCTAGAAGAGAGGAGAGAAAGAGATAATAAGCCAAACAAATAAGGAATTGTTTTGAATGATTTGGGAAGTAGAGAAACCTGAAGAAGTAACCTACTTGGGGGTGCCGGACCCGCAGAATCCAAGTGGGAGGGATGACAACCGCAGCATGTGCTCCTAGTGAGCAGGGCTCCTCAATGTGCTGCAGCATGAAGCATGAAACTTTACTGTGATACTGAAAGGGAAGTACAAAAATAGATCCACTTAGTGACTATAGCATAGACAAGGACAATCAGAAGTTTCTGTATGCTCACTGCAACCACTGATTTGGTCTTCACACACAGCTGAATAAGTGCGAATCAGCTGAAATGGATTATACCACTCCAGAACACAAGTGCAGGTAAGGAGGTTTTTGAATGCCTGCCTGAATATAGAAACAAAACAAAACTTATGCCAAGTAGAAAACTGGCACATTTGGATGCATGATGGGCTAGATAGGCAAAGCGATTCTCCCTATTATGCTAGCATTTTAAAAAGTAGTTTCATCTATCTGCAGTCTTTGTGAATTAAGAATATCCCACTGTTCCAGCCCTACCAACATACAAAAGTCACTCTTGGGGAAGACAGAAGAAGGAAAAGGAAAAAGAAGGAAAACAGTAACCAGCCAAATTGCTAGACTTTGGTACCTGACTTGCAAGTTCAACCTTCTATTGCTCATCCCCCCCCCCCACAGAGAGAGAGAGAGAGAGAGAGAGAGAGAGAGAGAGAGAGAGAGAGAGACCCTATGAACCTGATGAAATCACTATCTTCCAACTTCAGTTATTCATTTCTAAAATGGGGAAAATAAGACCACTGGCTTCTCTCACTGGCCTTATGATGAGGATAAATGAAAAATTATTAGAAAACACTCCTGTACAAGAAAAATCATGATGCAGGTACTAGAAATGAAGTGGCAAGTGTTTCAATAAGTAACCCTTCAGTACTTATGAAAGAGAGGTAGAAATGCTCATGTGTCAAAAGGAATGGCAATATAGCAAACAGGTACATGCTGCACTCACTGCTTGCTTACACCAGGAACAGCTGATGGCTACTATCTCCTTGCTGTGAAAGGCAAATTTTTGCTGGAAACCCTGCAGAGAGAGAGAGAAAGAAAATTTGGGTGTCACTTCTAGTTTCTTTCTGCAACACAATTGAGAACCTATAATTAAGGTGAGTTAACTATAGCAACACCTTAGGAACCAGTAAAGTCACTAAAATATGAGCTTTTTCTAGACCAGAAGTTCCCAAACTGTGTTCTGCAGAAACCTAGGGTTCTGCAAAAGCCTCGTAGGGGTTCCGCAAAAAATTGCAAAAATCAAATTTAAAATGGATTTTTAAATGAAAACATATGAGACAAACTATTTGATTGTCAATTGGTATCCAAGCAGCAAACAAGGAAATACATCACATCACTTGGTTTCTAGGGCTCTGTTTAGTAGTGTTGGGAATACCCAAAAGAATTCACTTGGGATATTATCATATAATCGCTTTATTAATTTATTATATTTAAAAATGTTTTTCAGTATTTCAAAACCTAATACATTATGCAAAGCATTCAGGCAATATGAGCAGATAAAAGAAGGAAGAATGTTGTGGGTTCACAATGCTTAATAAAAATCAGGAACAGAGTTAGGGTTCCGTGGGGAAAAAAATGTTTTCAGAAAAGTTCCATGACAGAAAAAGTTTGGGAACCGATGTTCGAGACAAATGCATTTCATCAGACAGGTTACTCTTGTTGCAAGAACACTCTTATGCTAATCTTTACAGAACCACAGTGCTTTTGGTTATTTTTCTTACAACAAACTATTATGGCTACATTTCTGAAAAGAGTCAAATTGTGGATGCTAAATAATAAAAAAATAGCATAACTATGAATCTCAATTACATTAGGGATTATTAGATAGCTCTAATAATACTTCTTATTTGGCTGCAACTTGAGAAAAAAAGCAGTTCTTTCTAAGAACAATGAAGTCAATATAGTCCTCATTCAATGGGGTTGCTATACAAGCAGTAATAGTTTAGGAAACCCAGAAAAAACTATAAATATCTTGAACTTGTAAGCAATTTACAGGCTCTAAATACAATTTCACTGTATTTCCAATCTACTCATGTACTTTGGGACACCACACTTTTTCTCACCTTTCCACACTGACGGCATTTCCCTTCTTGGCGTCTTCTGTGTACCCAATGATGCCGAACAATAGTAGGCTACAGAGAAAAGCATAAAAAAGTTTTAGAAGAAAAATATTATAATACATATATATGCCCCCCTGAACATATATCATATTTGCAATCCCCCAAATTACTTAACTTTCCAAAGCAGAGTTATGTTTTATCTTCCACTTCCTGCTTTACAAACTTTGACTCAGAAAGGTAGCTTCAAACATTTTACATTAACTTTCTGTTTCTCTGTTCTGTGGCATTTTACGGTTATAGATTTTTTTACAGTTTCATTCAAATGAAGTATTGATGTTTTGTTGCTAGATAATACTTTAATTCTTACTTGTAACCCATTTCAAGGGCCTTTATATAGAGGCCATATAGTGGGAAGGAAATGAAATCAATCATCAATCACTCACTATAGAAGTTTTGAGCACAGGTCAAAATAATTTTCCTTATTTCTGAAAAAAAAAAAGTGGAGACTACAACTGAGGCAAATCAGGAACACAGAGTCAGGTGTTTGTATTTACTTCTTTTCCTGTATCCCTCTCTTAACACGCCATGCCGACACGGATTATTCAACAACTCAAGTGTAATAGTGATCCTATTTTTGCAACTATATTAAGAGGCAGGAAGCTGAGACTCAGACAGTACTTCTGATCCCATGAATTTAAGCAAAACCGGAGGACCAGGCTCATACCCTCATTCCAGCGCTTTTGCACTTGTAAAGTGTTTTAAGGGTTAGAATGGTGTTCACTGATTACTGTGCATTTTCTCCAGCCCCTGCTTTTCAGTAACATATGACAAGACAAGCACTTGAGAGGCATTACAAACCATTCCCAGTGTGAGGGGTGGTGGCAGTCGTATGTCTGTATGTCTTGTCAACTATTTATTTACTTGAAGGGAGATTCCCTTAAATCTATATTCAGTTTAAAGGCTCAGGCAAAAGCAGCCCAGGATCATGTTTTCTTAATGAAGCCCTATGTACTTGTGTTCAAATAGTCCACCAAAGATCATCATTGCCTGGTGGTTTGGCTCCTCCCTCTATCTTTCAGTACCATGGAGAGTTCATTCTTTAGGAACTGCACAGGATCGCATCACTCTGGTCAAAATGAAATCCTACTTCTCACCAAGAAATGAGACATAAAGAATTCATTGTGGTTTCTGAAAGCTTAAAATTCATGATGTATATAAGCAAGCAAAGCCAGTACCCATAGTTAATGTAAGCATATAAATAAGACAGGATACAACTCTTGAGAATCAAATATTCCAGACATGTTACTTCTGGACAGACACAATGGTTATCCAATGTTTATTAAAGTTTAACCAACCATACATTCTTGAACACATATTCATTGTCCTTCCAGACTTGCATGTTATCTCACTGTTTTCTTAGAATATGAAATTCTATTTTTCATTATAACCAGGAAAGAACACTTAATCAATGCATATTGACTAGCATGGGGACATCTTGCTGTTGCTACTTCAACATGCAGATTCTCAAAGAAATGTTCCAGTGTGTCTTTCATAGCCCAGGCATGTTACCACCTCAAGCTTATACAGGAATACAGTTTGAGACTTGGCTACTTTGCCAAACATTTCAAACCCAATGCTGATACATGCAGACAAATCTGTTATGCCACAGTGCCATGAACAGCCTACACAGCTCTTACCTCTCTGATATTCCTTGATCCAGATTCTCTGAAGGAAGGCTTGCATCGGAAATTTATCTGTGCATTTAATAGGAAGAAGGGTAGAGTTTTTTTTAAAAATGCAAAACAGTTCTGCCCTGTGGGTAACACTTACAGAGTATTTTCTCTTTCACATATGAACATAAGAAGCTTCTTTATACTAAGTCAGAAACTTGATTCATCGCACTCACTACTAGCTCCTCAAAGCAGCTGCAGCTCTTCAAACTCTCAACACAGAGGTATTTCCCAACTCTCCTACGTAACAGCATTTAACCGGAGATTATAAGTATTAAACCCAGGACCTTCTGATTGCAAAGCTATGTATTCTGGCTTCTCTAAATGCAAATTATGTTTGCATCAAATCAACATATAACAGTAAAAGAAAGAGAGGACCAGGTTCTTGGGAAGTTTCTCTTTTAAGAGTATAACTGTTATGTGAGAGTGGTCCATGCAGGAAAGTTCTTTATCTTTCAGAAGGTTGATAGCATTTCTCCAACTAAACCAAGGCAGCTTAAATGGCCTTTACTCACTTTCTCTAGTTGTTCTATGCAGGGTGTATGGACTACAATCTTGCAAGCTGCACATTTACGCTTGGACAGAGGTTTTTGCTGCAAACAAAACAAAAAGCATTCATCATCAGCTACTATCTGAGAAGCTAGCAAGTTTCACTTCTTAATACATTTGCAGAAAGAATATATTTAGAATAAGTGACGCTGAAGATTAGGGGTGCTGTTCTTCATCTATGTTCTCTTTCCTTCTGCATGCAACAAAGGCAAGAAAAGCCATGAAAATGTGTACATGGAGGACTATCTTTCTCCCATCTCTTGATCATAATAAAGCAAATGGAATCTGGGAACTGGCATATTTGGAATAAAAATTATCATAATCTCCTGTACAAAGCATTAATCAAAGGTTTGTCATGCAACACATATTTAATTCTATTGCACTTCAATATACTTGTGGTAGGCTCTATTTTTAAACCTGTATCAATTAAAAACAAAGCAAAACACAAGCATGTCATATACTAAAGAAATGTAGATGAATTTTCCAGGCAGTTCCAGAAGCAAACAAAGGTCCTGTGACTGCATCTCCACCTGCTTTTTTTGTTTTAACAAATTCCTAAAATGGTTTTTGAGTGTGACTCATGCTTTTGAGGCTGAAACGCCACACTCTTTTTGTTTTTAAATCCTTACTTCTGCTGCCAGTAAATCGAAATAAAATGAATCAAACTTGGGAAAATTACAGAAATTGTTACTTCTTATATTGGAAGAGGGGAAAAGCTGAGTAATACCTAGAGAGAGATATACAGAGTACATGGGAATGCTACAAAATTACAAACTTAGAATCAATGAATTCTTTCCATGTGAATGTATATCAAGCTATTTTACACCAAATAAGGCTAAGGGTCATCTATTCCATAATTCTTAACAAAAATATAAAAAAATATATAAATGTGCAACACCTTCAACACCCCCCCCCGCACTGCTTCAAAAAAGGTAAGCAGAAATTCTTGTGTCATAGATCTTCCAAACTCCACAATTTTTGCTGAGGCTTGCATCAATAAACAGTAATAATGCCTATGAGTAACTGTGCCAGTAAGCAGCAGTCCAAAGGGGCATGTTTGCCTTACATTGGTTTCATCTCTCCAATCAAATCTATTTGCTGCTATGACCTCGGATTTAATTAACTCTGGAATGAGTGCTTTAAGATTATGTCCTTCTTCTCCACTAGGTGGTGGTGCAATCTCACTCATGGATTATTTTTACTAAGCAGTAGCAATCTCTTACCATTACTTACCAGTAGTTTTGCTACACAGTTTTGTTCCCCTACATAACAGAAGTCACCAGACACATTTGTTTCAAACCAGATATGCTCCCCGTAAACTGCAGTCTCCTGAAAAAAAGGTAATACATTGGTATTTTGCTGTACCCTTCAGAGAGTCGCATGCAGTTTAGGACAGGGATGCAGAACCTCTTTCAAACCAAGGGCAAAAATCCATTTTGGAGAAGCTTTAGGTGGTTGTATTCCAGTGACTGAAAGGATATGGAAGGCAAAAAGGAACAAGGCTAAAATTGCTGACGTATTTTAATTTACAACTTTTACTGCCAGTAACCAAGCCTTAGAAGTAGTATTTCAACTTTTTGGAAAGCAGGCGGGACAACTACACAAACTACCAAATGATCAGTGAATGGTGGGAAGGGGGTGTGGCCATCCAGGAAACCCCTGAGGGCTCGATCTGGCTCCCAGGTTTGAGTTTCTGCAAACTTGGTGTAGAGGCTACCTGTGATTCCACCCACATCAGCTCCAAGAGAAGGACATGACAACCATTGCAAAAGTTGCTGGGCAGAGACACACGGTCTTAGCCATGCCTCAGGTTTTTCTTCATAATGACATTCCACTTCCATATTATAAGGGGAACACACTTTTGTTACATAATGTATACATGTGACATCAATTTGTCACCTTTGTTACGAGTTTCATTTTTCACATACTCACAAGTAGATGACATTGATGAGCAGATGGTGTGAGGAAACTCACTATGGGCTTACTTAAGGCATGCAGGGTTACATTTTGTGTGGCAGCTATTCTGAATATTCAGCCCCCACAATCCTCAATGACCCTACAATGATTAGGCCCGTTCACACAATCATGGTAGGTTATGGTGTATGCTGGGAGCTGTTGTGAATATTCAAGCTAAGATGAGTGGTCACCAAGGCTTATTATGCCACCCGACCATGGTACGGGGCAGGCTGCTGCAATGGTTATTTTATTTATTTATTTATTTAGAAAATTTCTATGCTGCCCCATTTGCCGAAGCCTCGGGGCGGCTCACAAACTTAATTAACTTCAATTAAAATAATATAAATTAACAGTATAAAGTAAGTCACCCTGGCCAAAGAATAAAATAAAGAAATACTATTAACAGTTAAAATGACATTTGAATAAAAAGGACTTCGCCTGGCGCCGAAAAACAAATAACGACGGTGCCAGGCGGACCTCTCTGGGGAGCGCATTCCATAGATTGGGCGCCACCACAGAGAAAGCCCTCCTCCGAGTACTCACCCTCCTAATTTCCTTCACGGAGGGTTCCCAGAGAAGGGCCTCTCCCGTAGATCTCAGGGGGCGGGCGGGCATATATGGACGTAAACGCTCCTTCAGGTAACCAGGACCCAAGCCGTTTAGGGCTTTATAGGTCATCATCAATGGTTAACTATCCACCCAAGCCTAAAAACAACCCAGGGGTTCTGGATAGATTGTTAATTACTGTAACAAGTAATCCTTGCTGGATTTATTAAAATGTTTAAATAAATAAATAAATAAATAAATAAATAAATAAATAGGACATTACAGTAAGCCTGTTGCAACTTGAATAGTCAACAATGACTGCTGGCATGTACCACAATCCACTGTGGTTTGAATAAGCCAAGGTGGGATGTTGTGCTTATGCATCCTGGCCACCATCATCGATTTGAGAGTTCTTTATTCATCAAACAATTGCCATCCAGTATAGGGGTTGGCTCACACCTCCTGGAAAAGAGCCTTAACAGATTCTGTTTCAGATGAAAAGGAGAGGCCAGCATCCAAAGCTGAAATGCCAAGGACAAGGCACCCAGAGATAAGACAGGCAGACATTGAAAATCAGACACTTTCAAATTCTGTGGAGATATTTAGTGAACACACTATGGAGGAAGGGGATAGACCTAATGTAATTAATATGAGAATATGGTGCCAAGTTTAAAAGACAGACCAGTCAAAACATGTGCTGAACAACTGGCCCATGAGCAAGAGGTGTGGTTTGCTCTTTTTAGTTTGGAAGGGAAGAGAGGCATTCTGTTTGGAATCAAGTCGGAATCAATAGGCTGCATTTCCCCAATGGCCAGTATTTTAACAACACTTGTTTCTTTTATTATTGATTTCTTCAAAAATCTCCTTCTGTTCTATAAAGCCAGACTAGCTGGTTTGCTTGAACATAATAAAGACTTTCAGATGGAAAGCCTTCACAGAATCACAGAACAGCAGAGCCGGAAGGAGCCAAGAAGGCCTTAGGGGTCCAACCAGTTTATACCATCCCACTCAGATGACTGTTCATTTTTTTTGAATGTATCTACTGTGGGAGAGCCCACAATCTCTCTAGGCAAATGGTTCCACTGTCAGTTGGGAAACTTTTCCTGATATTTATTTTGGTCTGCTTGGGCACCAGAGACCAGATGGCATAACAACTGGTCTGCTGCTGGAACCTGAACTTGTTCATGTAGGCGAAAAGAAATGGTTTCCAAACTCATGTTTTTTCCTTCATATGAACAGCTTCTCACATTGTCCATTGAGTACTATACTATGGAGTACAACCAGGACTGCAGAATGTTGGGGAAGGTGCGCTTATGTTATTATTTATTTCTGAGCTACCTTTTAAAGCAAAAGTGCCCACTAGGTACTATAGCAATCTTTCCCATCCTGTCCTACACTACAGCTGCATTATTACTACAACTCCCAGATTCCAATGAATCTGGAAGGTCCCACATTGGGAACAGTGCTCTATGCAGTGGTCCTTAATGTGGGCCATATGATCCTCCAAGGGGGCTATGCCATATTTCTAGAAGGACACTGTAAGGGCCACCCAAATTTAATTGCTAAGCATATGATCAATTAGTCATATTCCTCACATCTCATTCTTTGTGCTAATTTCAGCAGCATTAATATTGAAAATTACTACAGTTTACAAGAAAGAGCTTAATAAAAAAGGTAGTCTGTAATAAATGAAATGTTATAGTTTATATTGCACTTTATTGTTTTCACCACTTATCTTGTTGAATATGGCTTAAGTAGGACGATTTACCTACTATCAAAAGCTTGTAACCACCTTCATATTGCAAAAAGGTTAGCTTTGTCACTAACAATGCTGCAGCCAGATATGAAAAACTTGCAAATTTGCATTAGCCACAAGGATCACACTGAATAAAGTGCCAATACTAATACTAAACTGCCAATAATAATACTTTTTGTTAGGAGGTCTTATGTTGCTACTATACATTTGATGCCTTTAAGAATTTTCTTTATTACTTAGAAATAAAGTACTGGTTATTAGAATCTTTTTTGTTTGCAGGCCTTGTCTTGCTGTTAGACATATTATGTCCGTAAGAATTTTGTTTGCTATTAAACAATTACATCTGCATAGAATTGTTTTTATTAGATATTACAAATACTTTGTCTTTATATGATATAGTTTAGATTAATAAGCAATGCACATGGTAAAGAACCTTTTTCCAGCTAACAGCAACTATGAGGAGGGTCAAAGACATGAGACTCGAAAGGGGTCGATGAACAAGTAAAGGTCAAGGAGCCCTACTATATAGCATCATTCCAAAGAAATTAGCCTCCTGCAGTTCTCCCATGGAATTCAAGGTCATGTTGATAGACTTGGACACTATTTCCCATACAGATGCTCAGCAGAACCAAGCCAACTTAGCTTCAGCAAGGCTGCTGTGTCAAGTGACTTGACATGACCGTGCTATGATCAAAGATAGCCCTGCACCTAATCCAAATGGCCAGCTGTGGGTGAACAAATACAGCTGGGCCAAGGGTGCTGTGACCATCAGTCTTTTCTTTCCTTGACCCCGAAAAAGGGAACTTACGCTCCAGTCAACAGTGCTGCGAATTTCCCTCTCCAAGTCACTTCTCAGGGATAATGTAGGGGTTGGCTGAGTTACCATGTGCTGCAGACCAGACTTAGCAATAGCTTTCCTGAAAGACAGGGGAAAGAATCATTGTAAAAATGCTTTGCTTAAATAAATGCAGTTGAACAATATTCAGACCTCCTTTGGAAAGCTCCTTTGAAAAAATATAAAACAAACAAACAAACAAACAAACAAACAGGCACCGAAGGGAGGGAAAACCAAGATATATTCCATGAGTTAACTACAATCCCATCATATAGTGTGGAGTAAGTCAAAAATCACAGAACAACCAATACTCACCCATCTCAAAGGTAGCCAAGCCTAACTTTCTGTCCATCCTAGTGGCAGAGAATCAGCATATACTTTATGACCACTTTGTCATGCCATACAATACATCAATACATGGCAAGCCACATGTATGGCATCAGCTCACCATGTGGATAAAGCAACGTGTACCATGTCACTGCTAATGCTGGCCATGAAGAAAGGCCAAAACTAAAGTGGTTTCTTGGATAGGGATCAAAATACAGAATAGTTCCTGAAGGATGGGAAGAACAAAACAAAAACAAAAACTTCCACTCAAGGGATACTGTTTTCTCAAATGGTTGATGAAGAACAAAACCAGAAGAGTGCAATTGCACAGGCTTGTGTGACTTGTGAAAAGATGAAAGAGAACTCAAGTTTTCATGTTGCTTCTCAAGCAAAACTTTATCAAGCTGATCGGGTGGGAAACAGGATGGCATTTCAGAATCGAAGAATGTGCATGCGCTCAAGAAGGCGTATACTTTTTATGCTGACCAACCCACCAAGTTTTAATCATCAATCCTTTCCCTGCCTTTTTATTCTCCTCACAAATCAGGAGAGAGGTAGAAATTTACTATTTTCAATGTAACACATTTTTATCCTACCCTTCCTCCAAGTAGTTCAGGACAGTATTGTTTTTTAACTCTCAATAACTCTCAAAGACACTTGAGGCTGAATATATACACCTGGGCTGGTTTGTTCTAATGAACTTTGCAGCAAAACAGAGATTTGAACCAGTCCAAGACAATTCCAGGTTGGCTATGAGGAAAGTAAAAGGAATACAGAAACAAGCTCTTTAATAGAGGGATGCAGTAAAGCATCACGTGTGTGTTCCCCTTATTCTAAGGAATGGGAACCTTAGCCCTACAGGCTACATATGAAATGATGTAGTTCCTCAGGTGGTCACAGTCCATTTCCAGTTCCTTATTCGCCAACTGATTGCACTTTCTTGGCTTTTGCATAGTTTTTGCTCCAGCATAGGTTAAGAAGTCACTTCTAAGGTTTGAATCCAGGCGGTAAGGGCTTTAAGTTAAATATGCTAGCATTTTTATATGTGTTTTTGCTCCCACCTACTGCTAGAATGCAGCCCCCTAGAGCTTTTTGAATTCAGCTATTGGAATAAAAGAGCTTTGACACCCCTGCCTTATTCACTTCTCTTGCTTAGCAGCCTGCTAATGCTACTATCAAAGGGAAATAGGAAACAGCTCATAAAGAAAGAGAAGTGAGGTTCACAGCAGTCAGTAAAACAATGTAGTGCATTTGTTGAAATGTCAGGATTGGGAACTCCAAATTCAAATTCCTGCTTGGCTATGATTCTAATTGGGAGGCCATGGGCAACTCATTCAACTGGGTTCAGACAATACAATAACCCCCCAAAATAACTTACCCTACCTACACAACTGTGTGGGCTGTTGTAAAACTGTGGGCTGCTGTTGAAATATGGGTCATTGTGGTGTCTGAACCTAGCTGTGCTAACAAACCATGGCCTTTTAACCACAAGCAACGCATTAAGAAAATTCATGGATATTTGCCAGGTTGTGAACCAAGCGTTGTTTACTATGGCTTTTATCTCAGGTGGGTTTAGTCAATATAAGAACCTGTAAGAACTGTTGTTGAACAACAACAGTTCAACAACCCACACTCAAACAATACTGAGTTCCTGAGTATAGATTCTATGATCCTATGTTGTCTGAACCTGGTCACTCTCAGTATTAGCAAATGGCCTCACTCAGAACATCTTAGAGGAAGAGCTAGATAGGAACATAATAACAACAAAACCATCTGCCCTGACCTCAAAAAGACACCCTCTTGCCATGCCAGGGCTGGGCTTCCCCCCTCCCCTCTCATCATCACTTCAATAAGAATGAGCTTAATACCACTCAGAAAGCCATACATACAGCAACAGGGCACTGCAGCCTTCAGAGGAGTCGCTGCCACAGTCACTGTGGGCAGGAACCATTCCTGGGGATTTATGTGCAGTCAGTGACAGCCAGCTGGTCCCAACAAGCACCTTCCACCTCCTGGCAGTCCGCTGCATCCTGCCTGGTTGGAGCAAAGCACCTGGCCTGAAGGTTTCACTGGAGCGCCGCCGCTGGCTGAAGTATCTGTAGTGGCCTTGAAGCCCATAGGTTGCCTTGCTGTGTACAAACTCTGCAGGTAGGAGGTGGGAGGACCTGCGGCGCAGGTAGTAAGGGTCCCGCAAGAGAGGCCTCGGCTCAGCAGGGGAACGAGTACATGCTGAAAGCTCAGCTTGCAGCTCCTGTCTCTCCTGCTCAGTTGCCAGGCCAGCTCCTTCAGAGTCCGAGGAGGCTACTTCCTCATTCTGGTCACTCTCCACTAGCCCTTCCTTAGAGGAGTCTGAGCTGGAGCTTTCAGTACAAGTTGCCTCTTCCTCATGCACTTGGATGAGACTGGCAAGAAGCAGAGATGGCCCTATGAGGTGAGTATCTATGGTGTGCACTTGGCCCCCACGCTTCTTCTGAACAGAAAATCTAGGACTCAGGTGAGGGGTGGTGGTGCTGGATCGCCTCCGGGAAGACCACTTGCACCTACGTCGAGAGCCCAAGCAGGAAAGCCCTTGCAGCTGGGCACTGGATCTGCGACGGCGCTGGACCAGTAAGGCAGAGGGCTGGCCCACCACAGAGCGCCGTCTTGCTTTGCTGGCTGGCAGAGCCACTATGCTGGTGCGTCGGGACCCCGACGACACAGTCTTCTTCTTGAAGTGCCTTTGTAAAAAGGATTCCATAGCGAGTTGGCACTGTTAACAAAGAAACCAGGTGTTTCAAATGAGCAGCTTGCCAGATCCTGTGCACTGAGCACTGCTACTGCTCTTCTCCCATCGATTCTCTAGGCCCTGTGTCAGCTTCTAAACACAAAGCCTGCTGGAGCTCTAGAACCCTTCCTCTGTGAAGCCAAAGCATCCTAAGCATCCAATTCACCACAACATGCTAAGTGGGGGACAGGGAAGAGCTCCACTTATTTTACAATGACTTTTTGTGGATAGCTATGAGAAAAAAGCTAACATTCTTGCCACTGTACTAAGGGCCTTATAGGAATCACACAATACTTGATGTGGAAGGTGCAAGAACTGCTGCATAATGCCTGAACTGCAAACATGTATGGATCTTGGCAATGGTTTGATCTGTTCCTTGCCAAACTCTGAAATACATGGGTTGAGATCTCTGTGTCAATAGTTTGATGGCCTGTATTAACTAGGTTTGGATAAAGATCAGGGATTTATTTATGTATTTGCATCTGGGATACCCCATAGCAAATAAAACAGGAAAGAAAAGTATATAAAACATGGTAACAGAGGCAGTAGTTAACCTTAATGAGAATCCAAGGGAAAACTTGCTTAAACTCTTTTTTGCTTTCTTTTTTCTTCTTCTTTTAATAGGTTGGTTCTAAGTGACACATAGGATGGGGCTCAATCCACATTTTGCCTCTTCACTGTACATGAAAGATAATGACTGGACAAATAAAATGTTTCCTGTTCAAAGAAATGTACAGCTCAGTTTAGAATCTGATCTAACAATTAGCAGCCCTTAGCAGATAAGGAGTGAGAGGATGAAGTATAACGTAACAGGTTTGAGAAGCAACTCAGAGTTCCACGGATATGAGGTAAAGCAACTACAAGAATTCTAAATATTTGGATGCACTCAAATCCTATGGTAAGGTTCAACAGTTCCAATGTGTGCCTGTTGTTCCTACATTTTGAGCAAAACAAAAGTGTACAGAAATGGACCTAGTTTCCCGATTTCATGTGCATCCCTGAATTTCTACAAAAAGGTTAAGAATAGCCATGAATCCCACATAACCTACAATAAGACTTCCATTTTCAGAAGTCTATGTACAAAGAGAAGACAATTCATATTGTAACTGTCTTGCACTAACCCAAGCAATCACTTTCCATGGTTAAAAAATCAGTGATCCCATAGCTTTGCATTTAACTCCTACATATAGGAATGAAGATGGTCTAGTCACCCAAAACTGGGCAGCACAGTTTGTATATTAAATTATTTCATTCTTTTCTATAATTTCTATACTACTAATAATTAAAGCTCTCTAGGCAGTTCATATAAATTAAAATCCAAAATACCATGTAATAAAACTTAATATAAAATCTTTTCACACACACAAATTAAAATAATTTAGGACATGTAAAATCAATTAACAGTACAATATCAGGAACCAATAAAATAACTGACACTAAAAGACCTATTATGTCATCATATGACAACTCATTTCAAAGCTAATCATGTGTCTAATTTGTTATTGACTATCACACTGTAAGCACATGCTGTAATTCAAGGTGCAGGCAGAGATTTGATGAGGAATCAATTTTTCAGTGAAGCCCACTCTAGTCTCCCTTTTTATCCACATTCTGTTGTACAGTGGTGTCTCAAGACAACTGCCACAGGCTCTCTCAGTAGTATTCATGCACATCTTTTCATTTTGATCCAGAATTGAAGATCATCTGTCTAAAAAGCACGCTAAAAAGCAAGTAAAGGAGCTTGGTAACTGCAGGAATACAAAACAGTATTCATAGCACTCTGCTGCTGCAGAAATCATAGCCACATAGTCAATATGTGTCAATATTATTTCACTGAAACGGTATTTCGTCAATGGCACTTTCATCAATAAGTGTCAATATTATTTCACCGTACAAAATCTTCTGTAATTCTGAGGAGATGCCTCTGCCTTTTTGTTACTTATATAACCACACTTCTCTACTGCCAATTGCCCCCTTTTTGTTCCTAAACCCCCCCCCGATAAATCCTGCACAATACTGCTTGAATTTACTCTTTCAAAAAGAAATCTTCATTATCCAAGTTAAGTGACAGCTACTCCTTCTTCCAGTTTCACACTGAGCAAACAAATGGAAATGATGTAAAGATCTTACCTTGCTATTTACTTATGGCAGGAAATAATGGTCCTTCATTATTCTTTCATTATTTGTAAAGTGACTACAATGTACTGAAAGCACACTTCCATGTGCAATGGATTTCTTTCTCCCTACAGCTAAGAAGACAGCTTCTGTCTCTACTTTTGCTCAGTTAAAAGTATGAGAAGGAACTTTTTGCTCTTCTCCTAGGTATTGAACATCTGGAGATACCTCAACATCTCACACATCCTTAAATGTAGAGTTTAGCCTCGGTTAGAACCAAATGTTCCCACAGTAAGCAGAATGAAGATTCAGCCCACATGCACATTCTTAAAAGCAAATTCTATTTATTTCAAAAGATTTCCAGTGTTATTATTCCCAAGTAATTGCAAACAAGAATGCTGCCTTTGAACCAAGTCAATCATACTTGTGAAGAATGAGAGTCCACTTGCTACTGCAGCCTTAACATTTAGAAAGTGGGTCCTAATCCTTTGGAAAATTCTCTAACTTAGCTCCCTCCAGATGTGTGGGAGTATAGCTCCCATCATCCCCAGCCAAAATGGAATATGGTGACAGAGTCATCAACTTTAAGAATGGGTAAAGATCAGCTTTCAACATTCTAATCCAAAGCATCAGCTCCTTAGCAAGCCAAGCTGGCACATATGACTTGCCAACCATTGCTATGGATTTCTGCAGACAAACACATAGTGTTATCATCCTTTTCTGGTTTTCTCTTTAACCACAGCTGAGATGAGAATATTAGAACAGGTGAAATTTCCCCTCAACACTTCTATGTGCTGCTAGAAATGTTTCATCTGTGTGTCAGGTTGCTTTTAAAGTCTCAGGGGCAGGCTGAAAGAGAAAAAATAATAGTTATAATCATTCCCTCCCACCCCAGTCAATTGATTTTCATTGCTAGTCCACAACCAAAGCTTACGCTGAAGTAGGTGAAAAACAATTAAGTACACAGGGATCATTTATTTCCTTTTAGAGTCTGTGTAGTGTTATCTTAAGTATGTTCATTTGGACATTAAGACCCATTGTATTTGCTCCTGTATTTGCTCATTGATCCTGTGTAAGCAATAATTGGTAACTGTGCACAAAAACAGTGTCTTTCTGTGAATAAAAGTTTTCCTGACTTTCAATCTATTTGTGAGGGTGCAGAAAATGATGTTCTCCTAGACTCTTGCATCTCCTTAAAGAAGAGTAGCAAATTTATTGTAACATAAGCTTTTGTGGGCTGGAATCCATTTCATCCTCTCTGTAATAAAAGAGACAGGGAAGGTTATGTCACAATACATGGGTTAGTCTTTAAAGAGATCCATGACTTGGTGTTATAGTGCAATTTACTGACATAGGCTACCCCTGCTGCCAAAAATTGATTTTTGAAACTGGACTTCTTATTTGTTTTTGCTTTAACAATCAGTATTATTTATTTAGATTCCAAACAAATAGGTCTGGTTGTTAAAACAAAAACATCCCCCAAAATCCTAGCTTTCAAACATTAATTTTAGCTCTTTAAATAGGCTATGTTATGCCCATTTACCACTCCTTCTCAGAGCAAGTATCCTACCTGGAATACGTGAAGTAATAAAGAAAATCATTCCTCTGAGTATATGCATAATACATTACTATTACCATTAAATTCGACCAATTCTTCCAACCAATGAGATTAGAGAGTATGCTTCCAAAAGGCTTACGACTTGGCAAGACTCTCCATTCTAACCACTAAATTACACAACTTAATGTAAAACTTTTTAATAAAGTCATCCCAGCTCACGCAACAATAGAAACTGATAATACACACAAAGATCCTTCACAAGCAAAATAAATAATGAAGAAATCCATAGGAAAAATCGGGGAATTTTAAGAAGGCAATCACAGCATAAATAGGACAGTTATGCAGTTCCTCAGGCAGCTGACAGGACAGGGCACAAGAGCAAAACAGCAGCAGCAGCTGAACCATTCTTGCCACTGGTACACACAAGTATGCTGACAAAGCATACACCCGTACACTAATACACGGCTGTAACAGACTCATTTGTAGTACAGTGTGTATATGGTGTGAAGACTTTGTGCTGATACCTTTGATTTGTACTCTGCCTTTCTGCCCAAAAAGTAGCACTGAAGGTGGGTGTTGTGATAGCAAACATATGCATACTGTGGTACCGCTTGGAGGTTGACCCTTTCATATGCAGGCAGCTGGCACATTTTATATGAAGTTATCCATAGGCACACGTTGGTATCCTTCCCACTGTGCAGGGAAGCCAACCAATCCCCAGAAGAGCATCCTCCCTTAAGTAAGCACTGACTACCCTCTGATTCAAGATTCCACAGTGTAGCCAGTTTCCAGAAAGGAGACAACATGCTCCACAAAAAGCAAAGACAACCTATCTCTTCTAAATAGCAAAGAAAGGGAGATGGGACAGAGGAACAAATGGTAGGAGAAAGAGGTTCAGTGGTCAGGAAATGAATTTGAGTGCCAATGCACAGGAAACAAACACCAAAAAAAAAAAAAACCCAATAACCAAGGCAATAATAGCATATATGAGAAGCTAAAACCCTTTTCAGTGACCAAAATGAACACTTTGGGAGAATGTATTTGTTTTCGATGCCATTTTTTATAGAAGTTAGGAGAAGGGATAAGATTTACTAATGGAGGCTCTATTCGTTCAGAAAAAGGAAAAAGGGGAATAAAAAAACTTGCCTTTTCTGCACATAGCAATATTTGCAATACTCTAGTGGGGCAGTCTGGTTAGTTTGTTGTAGCAAAAACAGCAGAGTCATATAGCACTGTAAATGTATTTATTATTTATGAAGCAAGCTTTTATGGACTAGAGCCCACGTGAAGTGTTATTCTTAGTTGACAGCTA